ATATAATTATTAAGCCATTGGCCACTTCTCCAAATCACATACATTTTCACAGAATTTTCAAGTATAATTATAATTCATCATTTAATCCAGTGCTTAAAACTGATATAAGCTGGGTAGTATATGGATTAAAGGTCAATCTTAACATGAACAAAACCCCAATAAAAACAGGCCATATATGTACAGATCCACATTCACAGATTGAAGGTTACTGTAGTCCAGCATAAAAGAACTTTATGTCATGCAATAAATAAATACCTCTGTTATATCCAGATTCATCCTGATTATGCTTTTTCCAATCAGGGATCAATATACATGTATATACTTTACATGTCCCTTCATCAATCTCTATGTTTCTCTCTGACCTAGTGCTGGTGGTTTGAAAATTGGCGCAAAACTAGTAACACAGGATGAAAATAGATAAGTTGTTCTTGGAAGATTTTACTGCACCTAGATAATTCAACCCTAAACATGTCTGTTAATCAAATGAAATGCTAACAAAATATTACTTTGATGCAGACAAGTATAATGAAACACTTTCAAAATGCAATTTCATTCTGCAGAGTGTAAAGAAACCCGCACCTCAGATCTCCACATTTTTTCCTTATTCAAAATAAGGAAAAAATGCGGACGGGAGTATTTGGACTAATTTTCCGCATTCATTCCAGATTTTCGTAGATTCAAATTTCCAGATTTTCTCCGTATTCAAAATATGGAGAAAATGTGGATGGGAGTAAAATCCGTATTCTCTCCAGATTTCCGCATTTCCATATATACAAAATATGGAGGTATTTACTTGGTTGATAAAATGCGGAAATACGGAAATCTGGAGAAAATACGGAGTTAATCACATGGTTATAAAATGGCTAATAAAACCGCTACATGATGCATACATACATAAATATTTACAAAACCATCAACAATGTGCAAAATTATATACAATTTATTTTATCATTATGAGAAAAAAAAACATATAAATGAATGAACAAAATTACACATTACGTTCATGAGCAATGTATTGGATCTTATATCTTTGACAAACAAATAGGAGCATGTATGGAAAAAAAACTGGAACTCTTATTTAAGCCACAAGTTCATCATGGAAAAAATGTGGCATTTTTTAATATTCATATTAAATAAATGGAAATTTATTCATTCTATTTAAGCAAAAGTGTGAGTGAAATGTTCAACACTATTAGGTATTGGGGAAAAAATAACAACTGACATAGCATTGAATATTTACAAAACAAGAAAAAATTTTAGACATTTTTTATCAATCTGGATCACATTTGCCATTTTCTACCTGCATCCCTGATTCATATTTCTCACAATTCAATTTATATTCTCAGGTCTGTGCTTTACACCCATCTGTCCAATAAAAATTTTCTTCAGACTTCTTTGTAATTTGTAAGGTCTCTGCATGTTTAATTTCTTGCAACAGCACTTGCGGTCAAATTGGCAAATCCTATCAATTAAAAAAAAAGTACTTAAATTATAATGGTGCGATATTAATAAAATTTAAATTCATTGCTTTTATTCCTTTTAAAATCTTTTTATAAACACAATTTTGGGTTCTTCAATTTAATATCAATTTGTTTAAAATATTATTTATAATAATGACAATCATAGTTGACTGTTTTTAATTAAACAAGCAATAAAAAAAGAAAAAAAAGAATATATATACCTCAAACATAACCATCCATGGACCAAGCTTTAAGCCCGTTAAAATCGCAGTAAGTTGAATAAGCACTTATTCTTTTTCAGAAATCTCCTCCTCATGCACAGACACTACCAAAAAAAAAAATGTATGGTAAATCATTGCTAGAGATTACACCCCACGGCTCCCCAAAATTAACACCTTTAATTGTGGTTAACCATAATAAAATTCTATGAGCTGATTGAAAGATTTGAATCATGGGCATATTGGCTGAAACGTACGTAGCCTGGTAGCTCAGTCCTAGGCCTAGAGTATTTATTTTCATCATCACAGTGACACACGTTAAAAAAATATGAGTGACCTACCGCATATGAAATACGTGTATCTGCATCTTTTGGTTGATACAGCAATACGATCTCAGGCTGTCTGGTCAACAAACTTCTTCCTTTAGACAGAGCAGACGTTGCAACATGGAGGCCAAGGTTAAATTTTGGCGGTCTGTTGTTTAAATTAATTGATCACTGAGCCCGACTTTTTGAAACATTCTTCCGATCCCGATAAAATTGTACATAACATTCAGGAGAAACAGAAAACTGCTGTTAACTCCAAGACAGTTTTTATGCACCCAAATTTTTTCGGGGCGCATATTGTTTTTGTCCTGTCTGTCTGTTTAGCTGTATGTCTGTCTGTTTGTTTGTCTGTTGTCAACTTTAACCTTCGCCATAACTTTTGAACTGTGAGACTTACAGACTTCATATTTGGTATGGATACTCCACTACAAAAACACTTTCAACTGACACCAAGGTCAATGACCTTATGACCTTGATTGTGACCTTTATGCTAAAAATAGCTTTTTCGAACTTTCGCCATAACCTCTGAACCGTGAGAGATAGAGACTTCATATTTGGTATGCATACTCCACTAATTAGGCACTTTCAACTGACACCAAAGTCAATGACCTTGTGACCATGACTGTGACCTTTATGCTAAAAATAGCTTTTTGGAACTTTCGCCATAACTTCTGAACGGTGAGAGATAGAGACTTCATATTTAGTATGCATACTCCACTAATTAGGCACTTTCAACTGATACCAAGGTCAGTGACCTTGACTGTGACCTTTATGCTAAAAATAGCTTTTTCGAACTTTCGCCATAACTTTAAAACCGTGAGAGATAGAGACTTCATATTTGGTATGCATACTCCACTAATTAGGCACCTTCAACTGACACCAAGATCAATGACCTTGTGACCTTGATTGTGAACTATGTGCTAAATATAGGAATTTTCGCCATAACTTTTGAACCATAGATGATAGAGACTTAATATTTGGTATGCATACTACACTAATAAAGTGCTTTCAAATGACACCAAGAACAATGATTGTGTGACCTTGACTGAGACCCATTTGCTAAAAATTGCTTTTTAGAACTTAATGTTGCCGCCAGGTGCTACTGTGTCTCACAAACACATCTTGTTCTTGATGAAAAAATTCTAAGTCCAGAGCTCCGTATTTTTTCCGGATGAAAAATATTCTAAGTTAAGAGTTCAATATTTTTCCAGATGAAAAATAGACTAAGTCCAATTCTCCATATTATTTCCGTATATTTTCCGGATTATTTCCGTATATTTTCTGCTTTTCCGTATTGTTAATTTTCTCTGTATTTTTTTCCACATTTTTTCCATATTAAAATGAGGAAAAAATGCGGAATAATGCGGAAATCTGGAGATCTGAGGTGCGGGAAACATTAATAAAACACCAACAATGTAATGAAACATTAACAAAATACCATGTCACTCCATCCTGTAAAGTCTTGCATTGATGTTTCATTAAATGCAACACTTTCAAAACATACTAAGAAAATATAAAAGTATGATTTGTTAGTGTTTTGAAGATATTTTGAAAGTATTTTGTTAGATTTCTTTTTCATTTGGGTTCATTACATGGTATAGATTCAACTTTATTCAAAACATAGAATTTTGTGACCTGCCACTTAACATTGTTAAATACGGGTACTGGGTAAAAGTTTTAACAATGTGTATGCGATTGCAAATTTCATTAGAAAACGGCTACAGTAGCAGTTGTAAATATTAAAAGGTGATGACCCTTTTCAAAAATAGTGTTATGGTCACTGAACTTAGTGCAAGTAGCTGATAAAAGCCCAGCTTGAATCTATAAGGGCCACTGCGTGGTTTATGGCTTCTAGATGCACAGATGATAGGAAGTGGTGACAAATTAGTGGGAATGTTTGACTTCTCTTGCCTTCAGCATCCATAAACACGTCAATCAGTTAGCTGATCCTGCTGCTACTGCAGAAAATGTGGTGTACGCATTTGCATCCAAAGCTGAGCTTTCTGCTGCACCTGTTGAAGTGCTTTGTGTTTTGTTTTATTTCTAATGTATTCTGTCCTAGAAGAAAAGAAAACTGTTAATTCTTTTTGATTTATGTTTTCCTTTCTGTTGAATCATACTAAATGCTCTTTTTTTGCCTAAATATTATCTAATCTAACAATCTTGTTATCATGCATAAGTTGAAAAATTCCCTAATGCTTTTTTACACCAAGAGCTGTTGTGAAATGACTAAATGACTCAATGCTTGCAATAACAAGATAAAATAGAGCCCTATTACTTGCTGTGTATTAAATTGGATGAAGGAGGGGACTTGCCAAATAATATACTCTCTGATGAGCCACCAAGTGTCTGCTGGATTCATGTTATACAGTATCAATGAAACTAGAATCAAAGAAAGTGCCTGCCTGTAAAGAGGCAGAGATAATGTTCTGATTAGCAAGATGAAGTCCCACCGTGCTTCATAAACACGCACAGCAAGTGGCACATGGCGTCTCTGTATTGGGGGGGATGGACAGTGAATTCCCTGCTCTGACATCATCCCCAGACACCCACAGCTGGTTAATTGCTGCCGGGATTACATAAACAGATGCGATATATCAGGCATTTTACAGCTTCTTTTCAAAGTGTCATAAGTTGTTTAAAAAAGCTCTTTAAAAGATATATTAATTATCTCTTACTGCATGGTTTATCATAAAAAATCCCCCCTTACAGATGATGTAAGCCGGAAGATTATTTGTGATGTATTGCGCAATATGTCTCTCATGCAAACAGCTGATTTATATTTGAAGGGGAAGGAACTATTTATAAATTCCATTTTCCAATGAGTTGTAGCCCTTGACACAATTTTCAAACTTGAAAATTTATAAATAATATTTTATTGATTAAATACTGATACATGTATAAGGTTGTTTTTCTTATACTAATATCATAAGAACTTAATAATAAATTTTTTAATGCTTTCTTAAAATTGAATGTTTTTTCTATTTCTTTTTCAGAGATTTAAGATTTAATAGAATAAGAAACATTCCAAAAGGAACATTTAGACAATATGGAAAAATAACCACTTTGTAAGTATGATATATCTTGAATTTATTATTTTAAAAAATCACAAGATATTAGCATCTATATGTCTGTCATTATTTCTATCAGCTAAATATATCAATCATGTTGTAAAATATGTAATTGAAAAATAAAAAAGTAAATTGTTTTATATTCATATCTCTTGTTTTAAGACACATAGTATGAGAGGCACTAGGGTCTGTATAAAAGAATTAAGTGCTGTGTTTTTGCCCTATAAATTCAAAACAGGAACACAATTATATGTGCATGACTAAAGATGAACAGCAGTACATGATCATCATCCTCCTTTCGATTCATTAATTTCTAAAATACAGTATATTTAAATGCAAATTCAACAATTCACTTGCATCATCAATTCAATTTTTTGTTTGTTTAAAACAGGTCTTCATTTTCATGTGAAAGAATTAAGTTTTAGAAGAGTATTTGATAATGCACTTGATCAATTTGCAAAACAGATAATTTGTATGCAATAGCTGGTCTTGAGAAATGATTAATGAATTGAGCCAAAAACAATGAAAACAGTAGGAACCCAGTTACCCTGCAATCTCTTAGTAACAATACAAACAGTATTGCATTCATTAACTGTTAGACACAGGCAATCAAAGATCACCTGATGACATAAGATAAGTCTCTCATGGCAAGGAGGGTGGCCCCTAATGTAGAACTGAGAGGGTGGCCTTGGTTGAATGAATCCGTCTGCACTAAACCCCCCCTTTCTGAGCAAGATGAAGCAAGTTTATATTTTGATGACATCACTGGTCAACCTGATAATAAAATTCAAAGAAAATGTGCAAATCTGTTGTCTAGACATTTTGGCAGAGGCTAGTTGCAATGGATAGCTTTGGTTAAAAGGCAGTATTAAAGTTTTTATCTCAAATAAAAAAGATGAATGCATAATCTCTTCCGATTTAATAAGTTTACACAGAATTTTTTTTATCCTTAAACTCTGCAATTTAAGTTTTATGTATTTATTTTTAACTCATCAGAGCTGAAGGTTCAAGTGAACTCTTCTGATCAAATTTTGTCAGTTGTTTGTTGTTGTTGTCATATTCAACTTTGTACAATAATGAATATTTCATTCTTTTCTCCGGACTCACTATGCCAATTTCAATCCAACTCAAACAGCTAGAGTATCCTTGGGTAAAGGGGATTCAAGTTTGTTCTCGTAAATGGACACACTCTCTTCAAAGGGGAGATAATTAAGATAAAGTAAAATTGGGTGGCTGATCATTTAAGAACCACAAGACCAGAAAAGATTAAAAAAAAAATTGTGTGAAATAGCTTCAGGCTGACTCAGTGTAAATTTGTTCAAATCATATCCCTGGGGATAGAAATTTTAAAGGGCCTCAATGGACAATCAAAAGTTTTACAGGAAAAAATCTTGAAGAATTCTTGAGTATTTTTACATTCAAATAGTTGTTCAAATCATGCTCCTGTTGGGAGGTCAGCCACAAATGGTGATCAAAATTTTACATGGTTATTTATAGGATAAATTATATCAAATCTTACCAAGAATAGTAAATCTATGATTAGTTACATTAATTCAGAAGCATCCTCAGGTAGTTTAGATGCAAATTCAAATCATATTCCCAAGGGTTACGATAGGGCCAAAAAAGAAATCCTAAAGCCATGATTATAGGTCAACAAAATATGGAAGCATCCTTGGTTACTTTAGGTTCAAGTCTGCATGAACAAACCATATGCCCTTGCAATCACATATACGAGGGGTTATCAAAAAGTTCGTGGACTAGCGCTATAAAATTAAAACCGCTTTAGGCACATCAATGAATTTTAAAATATCTAGTTAGCATCATCTTTTCTATCTAAAGAATAAACCATAAATCATAAATTCTATTTTTTAATAAATTAGTAATGTTTTGGTAAGCAATGGTATGTCCAGGCGGCGCAACCTCGAACACGACGTTTTTGCAACCTATGTGTAACTGAGAAAAAAACTCTTTTGATAAGAACATTTACATCCAAAAATCCCGTCAATTCAGGTATGTGTTGGGACACAATTTTTCCATAAAATATGAAATTTCCACTTCATTTCGTAAGTTGTATGAAATTTTATCGTAAAGTTTATATGGAATGTCCAAATAAATGAGGCCTTGAAAATGATGTGAAAAGGGGGGAGGGGTTTCTTTTTCTAACATTCTATCAAGTTTTGCCCCTGAAATAATGGTATAGACCTAAGAAATGTTTAAACTGGATACAGAAAAATAATATGCACCCAGACTTCTTGTCTTTTAATGTCAAATATGTTCAGAGAGAAAAAGGATACACAGTTAATGTCAATTTGTAGTCAAGGTGTGAAAAATCAATCGCGTCAAAAAATGACATTGATCATGTGTTGTAGATATTGAACTCTCAAAAGCAAAGTATACTGGCACAATCAAGCGAGGATCTCTTCCAGTGTATAAATCCATTTGGAATATTATATTTATTGAAAGCCGCTGTTCATGACATTGTAGAGTCATATAAACAAGGCGGGTTTAAGTCCTTACTCAGCTCCAGGGAATCTCATCCAAAAAAGTGCATGAGGTAGAAGAAGAAGACATTGAAATAAACAATGACGTTGTCGGACGTCATGAAAAAAACGACGACAGCGCCGGGTGATCATATAATGTCGTTTTTATTTTATAATAATTTGGCAAATAATGAACGTATCAATCTAAAATTTTCAACATTTCTTTATTTTTTGTTGTTTAATATTCCATATAAATTTTGAAGCACAGACTACATAGTACTAATTTTATAGCCCCAGTCCACGAAAATTTTGATAACCCCTCGTAATTAAATTTTTTTTTGAAAACTTAACGGATTTCTGCTCTTTCTAGCTAATGTGTGCTGCTGAGCAATGTGGCCCATGAGCCTTAAAAAAAATTTAGACTAATTATATAAATACACTATACCTAGTTATCTGGCTTTATTTACCACTCAAAAAAGTACATTAAGGTTTTATTTCACAAGCCACTTTAGATTTTTTGGATGGACTACATGAGATGCAACATAAACTTTAAATCCATTTCATTCTTTTTCATGTCAAAGGGTATCTTTTTTCCTTTGTGGTTCTTTTGCAATCCAGTGCTTTGTTAGTCTGAGTGCACAATTAAGATTTTATCGTTATATTTATATCACATGATCATCTGCAGCACAAAAAAAAAAATTCCTAAGAGGTTATACATCCCAAATTTTCCCCCAAAACCTTGCTTATGTCATTTTTTGTGATTCATCGTTAAGCATTATTTTCCTATTTTTTTCTGGTTTCCAAAATAAAAGATGATGTGAGTTGCACCTCAGATTTTTCTCGGTGAAGAAGCTAAATTAAACTGGTATGCTATATGGCTTGCAAGCATTCATTGAGAAGTTGATAAATTCTACATAAATCTGTGATGTGCAGCCACTAGACAGACATTCACAACAAAGCCTGGGGATACAGCCCAGGTTTTCTTCATCTTTCTTTTTGTTGCCATAACGGTCATTTTTCACATGAGTCACATCTGTGTCATTTATTGTCCTGTTATGATTGTCCCGTCTTCAAACATGACAAAGACTCGGGAGTCAGTTTTATGTCAGGGAGTTTTCCCTGATAAAGATACTCCCATTCTTTGAGACAGATAGATCTTAAAATTTATTAATTTATATCATTAGGTAGAATGTAGAACAGTATTTTCCAAGTCATCTGTGTATATTAGCTGCTCAAATAAACTAGGAAAACAATAAGCTATCACAGGGAGCTTGTCAGAGACAGTTGCATTTAACTTCCTGTTAATGAGAAGGAATTAAAATTGTTATCAGCTAATAATTAAGATAACATCATGTATCAATGATGCTATTCTACCATTTCTTAATGATCTTTTTAATTGCAATCCAATAATTTTCATTACGTTCTTAGATAAGCTCTAATACAACTTCTTGTAATTTTGACCATTTAGGGGAGAGTTGGTCAAATTCAGTATCTATTAAGTAATGTGTTTTTAATTGTGTTAGTATTCACAAAGAAAGTTTTTGTTTTGTGCACCTCAAGCGTGAATTGAAACAAAAAATTGAATTGAATGTTTTAATTTCTTTTTCAGACTACTTAATAATAACCAGATACAAAGGCTAGAGGATGGCGCATTTGAAGGCCTTTCAGAATTAAAATATTTGTAAGTAGACATTGTTGATATTTCTGGAACAAGGTAATACGAATCAGCTGACAAATGATTATAAATGCTTAACTAGCATTCATGAAAGTTACTTAATGAACTCCCCTCATTAACCTAAATGTTTAAGCCTCCTAATTAATACAATGTTTTTCAAATTATTTGTCTAGCAAAATAATAAGAAAGGTGTATCAAAATGTAAATGGGTGCACTTTTGATAAAAAAAAATTCCTTTGCTCAGCAATTATAAATCAAGTGAATTTAAATTAAATTCAAGAGAAAGTGAAAACAAAAGAAGCTTAAATTACACCATACGTGTACTTACAACTGCCTCACATATCTAAACATTGGCTGGTTAAGGTAATAATGTATGAAGAAGTAGGCACAATTTTGTCTTCAAAATGCTATAAAAATTTGATGTTTTCAAAAGTGCAAAGGACCAGATAGGATAAGACTCGTTTTTGGCCCCTGGTTTGGGATGTCTTTTAGAATGATGCAACAGTTTATAAATTGAAAACCACTTATCACTCCTGCTGCAAAATGAGTACATGTTTAGGTTCTATTGAGTTATGGGATACACAGACGTCACATGAAGGGCAGAAGATACGTCACAATTTCTGATTTTTCCCACTTTTATGCAAATTTTAATCAATTTTACAACATATTTTCTTTCAGAAAACATAGAGCACAAGCTTGCCTATCTACCAGATTTATGTATTTTATACACTAGTGTCAAATCCATCTTTTCATTGTGTAAAAATCTTAGATAGGCAAAAATGAAAAGTACCCAAATATGATGAAAAATTTGTTTGTCTTACATGTAAGCTTTGAATCAAAATTAGTGCTGATATTAAGACAAGCATCAATTTAAGTTCTTAACTACAAACTATCACAGTTATAACTGTGTTCTGATTTTTACATCAAAAAGGGGGCCAGATTCAATGGTTACCCTACCTTGCCCTTTGCTTCAAAAGGAGTTGAGTGTATGAATGTGATCATATTAATCAAGAAAGAATATGGCATAAAGGATGACTGTTTTCAAAATATGGCATTATTAAATTGTTATTTTCTGAGTTTTGAACAGAAAAAAGCCCCAAACTGACTTTTCCCCCTATAGAAAATAGTTTCCATGTACATCCATCTCCCTTTTTGTTATGTAAAAATCCTTGAGAAGTCACCCTTCTAAATATCTGGTTATCTATGTGATTCAATGCTAGGTTTTTTGGTATTTTTGGTAGAGGTACTATGGGATATACATGTTGTATATTTTAATGGTGTCTTTTGTCCAACATACCTAATAAAAAAGTAATATATGAAGCTTATAACAAAATGCCAGAGATGGGCTGAAGGGAATGCTTACTCCTCAATGACACCTGATCCAACCTTTGATGTTTTAGAAGTCCATGTTTGCTGTGTAGCTGCTCCAAAATTTGTATCGTTCAATAATGGAGTTTTGAGCTTGGCTTCAATACTTTTAGTTATCTCCATATTTGCTTTGTTAGAAATTTAATTTGTTATATCCATTAGCTTCACAATATTTAAAACCAACAGGGAATGAAAGACACTTTGCTATAAGCATCAATACTTTTGATTTCCATTACTGGAACTCTTCAATTTAGAGATGCATTCAGTTGACTGGAACAACCATAGGGTTAGGACTTGGGCAACTGTAGGGTTACCTTTGAAACATCAAAATTTATTGTCCTTTATATGACAAATCAATAAAAATTTTACCTCCACAAAAATATGTGCTTTAACAGTAATTAAAAGCAAAGGTCAGTTTTTATGCAGGCCTCTTAATTAGTTTAACTATATATTTGAGAAATAGTTCTTTTGCGATGATACAACATGACTGGGAAATCCACTTAAAAAAACATTTATAGCAGGAGATTGCAAGACTTTAAATTTCCCATAATTCAAATCATAAAAAACTCTCAAAAGATATGCCTGTGAGGAAATGTCAGATAAACTTACGCTTAAGTCAAAGGAAAGTTTATATTTTTTTCATTGCCAATTATCAACAAACTTCAGAGTTGATTTATTGCTCTTGAAAAAAGATATCTGACTCTTATTAATGCAAGAAAAATTTCTAGACAAAATGTGACAAATGTGTTTATTTTTTCCAGATATTTATATAAGAATCAGATCAAGTCTATAGAAAGCCAAGCTTTCAATGGCTTAGAGAATCTCCAGCAAATGTAAGTATGAGAAACTTTTGGGTAAAAAAAAAGCAAATTTATGCTTCGATCACCATACAAGTGAAATACTTATTGACATCAGAAAAAGCTTCATAGGAAAAGGTTTTAAACTTAACAGGCATATAAAGGAATTTAAATCATTTTCATGCTAAGAATTGATGAAACCCTGTATACCATTATATCAGCAAGTGCATACAGTCAAACCTTGTTATCTCAAACTCAATGGGACCAAAGAAAAACGGGCGCGGATCCAGAAATTTTTTCCAGGGGGGGTCTACGCCAGTCAAAAAAAATCCAATCCCAGAAATTTCTTGACAAGCAAAAAAAAAAAAAACCTATTTCGTGGGGGATGGGGGTGGGGGTAGCGGTGACTTCTATTACCTCAAATCTTTCACTTCTCATACTCATTTCACACATATTCGCGTTTACCAGGGGGGTCAGCGTTTTCCAGGGAGGGTCCATGGTAACTTTTTTCTTGCTCTACCATATGCATTTTTTAACCTGGTAAATTCCAGGGGGGGTCCTGACCCCCCGACCCCCCCTCTCGATCCGCGCATGAAAAAACTTCCAAAACATCCAGGGATTTGAGATATCCAGGTAAAAACACTTAGAGAAGATGAGGTTGCATGGAACTTCAAAATTAATTTGACAATTCCATGGTGTTTAAGATACCAAAGTTCAACTGTTACAGTACTTTTTACCAGAATCATTGTTTAACTGGCTTGTTTTATAATCACTTATGCTTAAAAGTTCATTTTTATTAAGAATATGAAAGATTTCCAAGGTACATGTATTTGAAACCATATTTGTATGAATACTGATATCATTCAGTGATTGGGCTAGGATGATTTGGGTATCCTGCAATATGAATCATACATCTTTATGTTGGGTCTCAAACAGAGGAAGAAGTAGAAGTAGAAGAAGACAGAGGGTCAGGTGGCTGTACTGAAGCCCCCAGTGGGTCTAAAGCAAGGTCTTTTTGGGGGGTTGGGGGCCAAAGCCCCTGGAAGCTGACAAGTTCTTACAATAAAAAAGATTTTTTCCCTTTGATTTTAGAATAATGGACACATAAATTTTACATACAAAAATTTCAAATGAAAAGAGAGGGGGGGGGGGGGCATACCATTTCAATAAAAAAAATATCTAGGTTTACCCAAACCTTATAATCTGCCTTTGATCTGGAATAAGTTAACAGTATAGTGTTTGGAATTGTTGGCCAATACAATTAATCAAATTCAGGTCAATATTTCCTCCTTTGATGGTCCTAGTAGTAGCTGATTTTGTCATTATATAACCCAAAAGAACCATTATTTAGATTTGGAGTACTACTACTAGGACCAGCAAAATCAGCTTTGATCAGACACAATGTGAGTTGTATAAAGATATTGCATGGGGAAAAGTATTTTGAAAAATATATTTTTGTGAATCACTGATCTGCCCGTATGGCAGCTCAATGCCAAGGTTAAAGTTTTAAAATGTAGGTCAAATGCCATGATCAAGGTAAAGAGTTCAAAATATTAGCGGTAACATCCCAAAAAGATCAAGATCTTAATTCCACAAGGAATAGGTTAAAGTTTTCCAAAAAGTGTGTCATACTTCATGGTCAATATCATGAGGTCAAAGTCATATTTCTGTACCCATAGAAAGATCTTTTCTCAAGGAATACATTATTGGAGAAATATGAAAGCCCTAGCATCAACCATTTAAAATTTATGGGCATGAGGTTAAAAAGTTTTGGATAACAGATAACATATTAACAGACAGACAGATGAACAGACCAAAAACTATAGGGCCCAGAGTCTTTTAGTTATGGGAGCATAGAAACACTTTGGATAAAAGCTTGAAACAACTTGCGCAAATTATACTGAATCAGCTGAACCTGACACACAATGTAGTTAACATAAACCAGTGCTGTATCATATGTTTTGGCTGCTAAATGTTTAATTTTATGAACACATTAATTGCTTGGTCATGTTTTGCTTATAAAAACAGTCGTGTTTGCTATTTGTTTTTATGAAGAGTGTATTGGAAGCTGTTTCAAAACCATGCAGGTGGGCTTAGTAAATTCTGTTTATTGCTACTGTAACCATATATGGCATAAGAATCAAACACAAAACATCTACCCAGTACATGTTTTTTTAATTTTGAATAAAAAAGAATGCAAACAATTTTGAAAGACATTTATTAATAAATTTTTTACAATGAAAAATTTCTTACAATTTTAAAAACAAATAATGAGGAGAGATATACCTATTTATAAAATATTTCTTCCAACCCCCCAAAATATTCTTGTGCCTTTTATATGAGTTTCAGAGAGTGTATTGGCTTAGCAGCATTAATGCTTATATATTGTCAGGAAAAGTCATTGCTTTGTATTTGCAGATTCTTGCACCATAACAAAATACAGACAATTTTGCCTGCTTTGTTTTCACATTCCCGTAATCTTCGAAGATTGTGAGTATTTGCATGTGTATCAATGCTGCGTATGACATAACTGTGTATCACACACATCTGAGTGTTCTGTGTGATAAGAAAAACACCACAAAAAAAACTCTGGTATTTCATGGTAGTCTTATCATGTTCATACCAGGGTTTTCTCCTTTGATGCACTTTCACAATCTACTTTAATAAGAAAAGGACTATATTCAATAATGGCTAAAAGCTGACCCCCAAAATCAAACTTTGATGGGGGATTGGGGGGGATTGAATTAATTTTAACTTTTTTTCTAGGGCAGTCAAGGATAGTATATGCAGACTTCAAAACAAAAGCCATAATAAATAAATTGCTAGATTCTCATCCGAATTTTTTTTTAGACTTTTATTTTATATATTTTATTTTTTTAGTTTTCAGATTTTTTATTGACCTGGTCAAGGTGATAAAAGTCATAGTAAAGGTTCAATTATTTCTTATCATCACCAATTTTTTTCAACCAATGACCCTTGGGTATTACAACAATTGATCTTTTTTAAAAAGATGGATTTTTAAAAAAATGATATAAAATCAGATTTCAATAATTTTTTATGCTCACTTGATCTAGAAAACCCTTCCATCTGTCCTTTCGTTTGAATTTAGCTTAGTTTCAAAGAAACCATATATATTCAAGATATTTTATCAAACTACATATGCTGGTTTTACATCGCAGCCTATTCAAAAGAATGGTGAGGATACAGCTAGGGCAGTGATGCAGGAGTTTAAAATCAAAACAAATTAAGTTCATTAACCATTTTTTAACATAATTCAATGTTGGTTTCAACTCACACATAAATATGACACCCTGTCCCATTAAGTCAAAAGTCTGATCTTTCTGTAAATTTATAATCTCTATTATGCAATTGTTTTATCACTTTTAAGAAATTTTCAAGACATGGACTAGCAAGAAAATTATGTCAGTTTGAATTGTTATGCAGTCTCCAAGGGTTCAATTGAAAATCAATCATATTTTCAACTAAAACTGAGCAGTTCAGATTTTTTAGATATTGACAGTGCAAGGGCCAAAAAGGGCTCTTAGTGAACCTTATTATTTGGCCCTTTTGTGAAGTTTTATGCATAATGCACATCATCACATGCTAAACAAGTACTTGATTACTCATAAAATTAGCACAAACATAGTCATTTATATTAATTACTGATTTAGCACATGCTTATTTGTTGGTTTTTATTTCGTGCTTCAGAATCTTTATAAAAGAATTTGAAATGATCATATATTTAAACCAAAATAAACTTATGATAACTGAATTTGTTAAACAGGATTTAATTAAGTTCAATGGAACATGAAAGGAAGAGATAGTTTTTTTTATTTTCTGAATTTCATGAATATTTATAATAATATAAATTAAATCATGTATATAAAAAAAATATGCCTTCATTTGATGACCATATGTCCTTAAAGGAAATGCTGTCACTGTTGCAGAAAAGTATTTTGTTGTTTGAGAGAAATTACTTTTAACCAATATTATAGTAAAACAGGCTTATAACGAAGTGTCAGAGATGGACGATTTTGCTTCGTTATAAGTGAAATTCATTATATCCATTATTCCATTAATTAAATTTATACTATATTCTGAAGTCACAAGAATGAATTTGAAAATCACTTCGTTGTATTAAAGCGTCAATTTGTTATAAGCGCGTTCACTTTAACCATGTTTTACTGTAATTACCAATATCTTTATAAACAGCTGGTTTTTCTTTGCTAAAATTTTTTTCCTCTGAATGTTTTGACAAACACCGGTAAATTTGTCATGCTCAGAATATATCTGTGCTTTAATATCAAAGAGTCCTGTTTTATGTCTAGAGGGGAAGGAAATGTGCTAATAGGAGGAAAAATTATGGTACAGAATTTGACTGTGAAGATTTTTACACATTAAAGTGTCAAAGATTTCTGATATTTGAACTGGCGCTAATTAGGAAAGTTTATTGCTTGACATCAGATTTTTAGAGTTTAAAAGGATAGGTTATCGAAAGAAGTTTTGAAAGGCATTCAGACATCCTTTGAGTACTATAGTACAAAAAATAAATGCCAATGCACATTGGTTGTTTGATTCTATAATTGTTCTCATGTTTTAAAGATGCCCGAAAACTACCATTAATATATAATAATAAATGAAAGGAAAATTGAAGCCTGAATTGTTAAAATACTTGAAAGTAATTCTGTTTAATTACCATAGTATGAAAAAGAGATAATTATGAAATCTAATATTTAATGCAATTATCATCTGTAATTTGCTCTAAATCATGTTCACATGTGCAGAAAAAAAGGGGAAAATCACAAACTAATAACTGTCATTTACCGGGGTATTCAGAATAAATTTTGAAAAATTGTTCGACATTTAGATTGAAATAACCTTGTATCTGTCAATCTAAAATATTCTGTAATTTGTAATTTTCAGACGATTAGATTCGAACTTACTCAACTGTGATTGTGATATGAAATGGTTTTCCAAATTTCTGAAGACGAATATAGGAAAAATCCACGCCACAGCAACATGTCACGGCCCCGCCGAACTCAGGGGGAGACCACTCATTCAGCTCACAGATTCAAACTTCGGCAACTGCGGTATGATGATTTTTGAATACCAACAAACTTTTTTTCAAAAAATGATGCAACTCTAAATATTCAGTAATGAGGGATTTGAATTATAATTTTCAGTAGAATTTATGTCTGTCTCATTGTTGCAGACTTTGGCCCAAATTATTGCTCTAGCTGTTGAAAAGTAAAACCTTAGTTAATCTAATTTTGGAAAATTCTATGAAATAAATTGGTCTCACATACGAAATTCCACAGAAACAATTTTTTTAAAACATACATATTTTAATGTAATAACAAACAAATTATAGGTTGCATAAATTTGCCTGCTAGAGGATATTTTTCTTCCATTATCACATCATGTAGCAAATTGGAAATTTATATTTCATTCCATGAGGGAAAAAAGTCATCTAACGTATGTGTTTTGGGCTGACGGGTAGCTGGATAAATGATATGTTATTCCTGGACATCTGGGAGTAAATTGAGATAGATTGGAAGTGTTATTGTATGAAAGGATAAAGATGAAATTACGATTTATGTCTGCACATTTTTAAGGTTGTTTAAGAGTAAGAGGCTGAATCATATTTTATGCAGGTGTGAGGTGTGCACAATATCTAGTTTGTCTGTTCTTACCCTGAATGTGAAACTGTTTTTCTGGTTAATTTAGTCTCCATTGTCCAAAAGTGATCTTTAAAGCTGTCTTTCTGCTTCTTTCATCCCATTTAGTAGGTATTATAAAGTCATTTATTTGAAATTTGAGAATAATCTTATATCAAACAACTGGGGATTAAATATCATAAATCTTGTATGAATGATTTCATCATGAAGGGTAGGTCATTCATATTTAATAAAAAAAAAATTGCCTTCATTAAGTCAGATTACATGAACCGAAGAAGGTATAAAAGTTTCCTACATAAGAATAATGACCTTCAGGGAGGTACATATCCCAATTGAAAAAAGTACATTTTTATTTTTAAGATGTTAAATTTAAATGATTTCGGTCAAAATATTTCCATATTTGGGCCATTTATTTTATACATGTATATTGATAAGATTGAAAAATCACTCTGATTCTACACACAAATACTCTGAAGTTGAGATGCTTGAGTTCCTTATTGACAACATTTATGTCATATTTCGAGACTCGAGTCTTCCAACAAACTTCTGGAATCCAAATAGGCACTCATTGTGCTCCTTTATTAGCCAACCTATAGAGTAATATTCTACTATGACCTGCATATAGTGTTTATGTCTCCCATTATTAGCTACTCAAGAGTATGCTCAGAGTATAATCAATTTTTAAACCAAAGCAGTCGACTCACACATAAGTTAATGTTACAGGGATTTCAATAACCTCATTTTAAGTTAGCATATTGTAAATTCTGTGGTTGATATAATGACCCTATAAATAATAGCAAATATAAGCTATCACTGCATTGTATTTTGGCTGACTTATTAGTTTTTATATGTGACTCATCACTTTTTGATATCTTTACCGTTTTCAATTGTCTACAATCAAACCTCGTTATCTCAAACTTGATGGGACTGAGAAAAAAGTTTAGATATCCAAGGACTTCAAATGTCTGAGATAAAATATTTAAAGAATTAGTGGTTGAGACTTCCACATCACTTCAACATATCCATGGCATTCAAGATATCAGTGTTCAAGATATCAAAGTTCAACTGTATTTAACATGAACTTAATAATAATCATCTCCAGTGTAGTTCTTTTTCAATTTTCTTCTATTATCAAAATTATGAAATATTATAGTAATCATATATAATGGTTTGAAAAAGAAACAGAATTACAGGAACTTGTTGACTCCTGATACATAAGTATATCTTTAGTGTATTATGAATTTGTCTGGAGAGACTGAGAGGGGCATTGAAATCTTTCTAAGATATTCAGCTTTTTACATTTAATGAACCAGTTTAAACATTAATTTAAAAGAAATAAGAGATATGTTTTAATGTAATCAGGAAATATATTTTTTGGTTAATAACAGAAAAAATGAGTATCATAATGTTTTCAGCATGTTAAAAAAAGTTTAAAAAGTTTTGAGCCTATGTTCAAAGCAAATATCTTGATAATAGAAAATCTCATTTCCTGTCAAATTTTATCTAATTCAATTTATTTCCTATTAAGTGTAATGAAATTTTTGAGTCTATTTCTTTACAAAAAAAATGCCAAGAATCTTTCACTATCAAATTCTTGCAATTTCCTATGATGGTAATAGAGAGTGATACATGATAAATTTGCAGACACCCCGCACTTCACCATGGAACCCCGAGATGCGATAATCACAATGGGAAACACAGCGTATTTTTCTTGCCGTGCAGAAGGAAACGAAAACTACAAGATTTCCTGGCTTCATAATGAGTGGGTAAATTGTCATTGTTTTTATATACCACATAACACGGGGTTACGTCAAGATACATAAATAAGCATCCGTTAATTGATTCCAGGCTAATTCAATCTTTTATGTCTCCAGTCAAAAAATCTGCCAAAATTTTTAGAGTTTGGAGAATGAGGGAGGAATGTGTTTTATGTTTATTTTAAGGACTGGGTGGATGAAAAAATCACTTTGTAGGTGTGTCAGTGTGTGTCACTATTTGATTCATTTGATTGTAATGAGTGCATTATTTTTGGTATCTGAATGTACTTAATGAAAGGGGGGAAATATGCTGGTAGCTTTATTGGGCTCTGGGGAAAGTGAGTGCTTTCATTGATAGAAAGAAACAGTAAAAGGGTATCATTATCGTATTTCCTTGTAAGTCCTCTTGACATAGATTTCAGAGATCAATTACTGTAAATTACTTTTTCTCCAGGGGGTTCAGTTTCATGGAATCCCCATTTCTGTTTGATCCTGCAAGTAGAGAAAATAATTATAGGCTTATTTCTTGGAATACAGTATTGTATAGGTCTTAAATGCACTTTTTGAACCAGTATTGCTGCAATAAATTTCTGAGGGAAAGTTTTGAAAACATACCAGTATATACATTTAGCTTTAATTAATCTCATAAGGAAAAAGGTACATCTACAGTAAATAATTAGAGTATTATTTACAATAAGAAGTTACTGTAGAACACTAAATTTTCATGACACCTTATTTTCACGAGATAGTCATTGACTCTTTATTAGCGAGACATAATTTTCACAAATCGTTGTTTTTTCTCTATATAATTGTAGGGAATACTTTTAAACGCGAGAATGAAATTTTCGCGAAAATAAAGTTCTCGCGAATAAAACGTGATTTACAGTATATATAGAGTGTGCTTAGTGAGTTTCTCATTTCCAATATTACAGCGTAGAAGTGAACTTGCGAGACAACAGAGTGTCAATGCTGAATGACGGAACATTAATGATTCACAACACCGTGGACTCGGATAAAGGCACCTATCAGTGTGTGGTCCGGACTCAGGACCAGGAAATCCGCACAAACAAAGTCCAGCTCACTTACTCCAGAGGTACATGCTAGTGTCATTGATATTGAGAAAACTAGCTTTGTCTGAATCATATAGATAAGACCAAGAATGAAGATGGAAATTTAGATCGACATTCCAATTCAACAAATCTTTAAAGTATGTTGAACATTAAAACAGTGCCAGACCATTCTCTTTCAAACAAAAACAATATCAGCTCCTGCCACCAACCCCCCTATACCAGTGCTCTTTTTTAAAGCAAAATATAAGAATTAAATTCCTTCTTAATTCTGTACTTCACCAATGATGTACAGTTACATTAGTAGATTATAAAGACACAGTATTTTCCATCTTACTCAAGTTGTCATCAGTTTGATTAAAGATTAAAGCCAAAAGAAGAAAAAAGAAGAGAATGTGCTGACCTGGAGTGAGGGATTGAGGAGTGGGGTACTTTAAGGATGGGAGGGGCTATAGGGGGTTATGGTATAAAATTTAATGCAAAAACTCAAAAGCTCTTGAGATATTGCTGGGAAATGAAAGTTTTACACACAAAGTGTATGAATTTAAGACCTTGACCTTTTGACCTAAAAATTACGGGTCTTCATTTGGTCATAAGGAGTTGTTATATGAAATGTCATTACAAAAGCTCAAAGGCTTCTTGAGATTTTGCACAAAAACAGAAAATTTACCGGTAATACAGACAGAATTTCTGTAATTTATGACCTTGACCTTTTGACCTCATTTCATTGGTATCTTCCTACGGATTTAATGTGTAAAATTTCATTGCAAAAGCCTCAAGGCTTCTTGAGATATCATATGGAAGGATGGACAGACAGAAATTTTAAATATCTTCCACTTTCAGCGGGGAACAATTAAGAATTGTGTGTGATCTTTTCTTTCAGAGGCTCATTTAATATTTGCTTCTACATTGCATTTCAGCAGCCCCATCTATGGTCACCACCCCGTCTGACTCCAGCGGACAGATTGGTCAGTCTATACGTCTGTCCTGTCAGGCCACAGGAATCCCTCCCCCCACCATTACCTGGAAATTTAATGATGTCACCATTGTACCCAGCAGTAAATATAATGTGGACTCCATAGGAAATCTAGACATCAGTGACCTTCAGCTCTCAGATCAAGGGGCGTACACATGTCAGGCAGGAAACGAGGAAGGATTCGCTGTAGCTGAGGCTAGAGTGACAATTCAAGGCGGTAGGTGAATTATTGATTATAGCACAGGTTGTTAGATTCCTTTACATATGCATGAGGATATGTAACATGTGAGGAATTGTTTTTGTGCAATTTCAAGAGAAGAACCACTAAGTCTAGCAAAATAAAATAACCTACTTGATTGAAATTTATGATTCTGAAATCCAATTTAAAATCTTGTTGCCTATTACACGTATTAATATTACCAGTTGTTCTCGCAATTTGACATACTGCCAAATCTCATAATTTGACGTATTGAAGGGCCATTTCCATTTTAAATATCAAGTACTCTCAAAAAATAAGGAATCTAGAGTTTACAAAGTATAGTATCAGTAAATGTGTCTTAATCTCAGTGGAATCCCTGTTTGTTTAATAGTATTTATGATTTGCCTGTTTTGGTTTTCAGAGGCCCCTGTCATTGTACAGCTACCCTCAGACCTGTCCCTGAATGAGGGGGACACAGCCAGATTTACCTGTGAAGTATCAGGGAACCCCCGACCAAACATCACATGGTACAAAGGAAGTAAGTAGACCATTTTATATTGGGGGGGGGGGGGGTGAAGCATAGAAAGTGCAGATATTTTTGGTATTATAGAACCTTTGTTCACAACTCAAAATTATAAGAAAAAGCATTAAAGAAATCCTTTTTGTGTGAATGTGTGCTTGTTTCATCAACATTGCTTGTTTTAGTTTATTCAAATAAAATGCTAATTTCACCTAGTGTAGATTTTCAAAATGAACCTTGAACTACATTGGTGTATTTGACTACTTGTACTTTAAAATTTGTAAAGTAGTGGATTATTTTCACATTTAATAAGTATCAGATTTCAAAACAGATTCACTTGAAATCATATCCTATGCATTAGAAATAAATTGAGAAAAGGCACTTTATAGGCCATAAACAGTGTTTTAAAGAGCCTTTGGATATATGTGGTGTCAATATGGTATATTACTTTTAATGTTTATGATAATGGCTTTTAATTTCTAGCACTATTTCTCTACAAGGACATTTGAATTTTACATTTTATGAAATAAATCATAAAACCAGCCTCTATGAAATTAACCTTACAAAGAATCTTGAAATGTTAGCTTGCCTTTGGAGAACACCAATTGTCTGCATTCATGACTTATGATAGTGTTATTATGTAATATCATAGCATATGGATTTAAATTTGAAAGTTAGACAACAAAAAAATACATTCACTAGAGAAGCAATGAAATATGATGATCATTGGGTACACAGTTCTTTATTGTTGTTTTTCTAAAATGGATTTTTTTTACGGTATCAAATTTTCATAAAATATGGCTAAAAAATAATAATAAATCTAAAGCTTTGGGTAGAGTGAAGGTGAATGAACTATGTGATGAGGTACCAGGATTTTAAGTATTTGTTACATGTGTTATTAAACTTTAACTCAGTTCTCTCATTACAATTCATCAGTGGAGGTCTTTACTAGTTTACCTTAAGAAAAATGCAATGAAGAACCAAAAAATGTCACTGCATGGAGAGACTTGACTAAAGAACTACATTTTATAGTAATAGACAGTATTTAAACCCAAAAAAATTCAAATTTTGGTGGGGATCACAAAATCTAAAATTATGCTCTTAGCCAGAGGGATATGTGCAAACTTCAGAGCAATATTCATTCCCCTAGCCGATCAATAATACAACGTACTTCTTCAAATTTATTTTATACAGATACATATATATATATAACTGTGCACATTTCTGGAGATTTTCAAAATTTGATTCTCAACAGGGTAAGGATATTCCTTTACCATATTTTTTTTTCAACTTCACCAAGACTTCTTATTTGGAAAACACTCCCACTTCTCTTTAGCTACCCAACCTGCTGATCCATTAATATGCACTGGTTTAAAATTTGATCATCTTAAATTATTTAAATTACCTTCCTTTTCAAGATACTGAAGTCTTGACCAATGATAGACGGATTCAGATTGTGAATGAAGGGAGACAACTGCGGATAGTTTTACTTCAGTCTACAGACAGAGGGACATACAGATGTAGGGGAGAGAACACTGCAGGGGTAGTGGAAAGTAGCTCAGCCAGATTAACAGTCACACAAACAGGTCAGAAAAGAATCAACAAGTTTTTGAATTGTAATTACATTTGTATACCCCAGGTCTGAAGGAGAGGGGGGTATACTGTTTTACCCTTGTGTGTCTGTCTGTCTGTCCGTGGCAAATTTTTGGACGCAGTTTTCTCAGCAACTATTTACTGCAGATGCATGAAATTTTAGCACATTCTTTGCTGAGGCATATCTTATGGTGAAATTCATTTTGTTTAAATTGGATGTCAACTTTCTGTTTATACATGTATTTGAAATTGTCATTAATCAGCTATATGAAAATAAATAAAAATTTTAGTTTTTATCTCAAATTGAAATCAATTGAAAGGTATAAAATGAATGAAAATAATTTATGAATATAATTTGTACTTTCTTCAGCTGTGCCTGTCAATAACAGAGAACATGATACAGAGGGGCGAATTGGAGAGGACATTGTTTTGTTGTGTGCCGAGGATGCTGATCCACTGCAAGCCACGAGGTGGATCCGAAATGGTGCGTCCATCTTACCAGGACCCAAATACTCTCTCCAGGGGAACCGCTTAACTATCAGACAGGCCACCCGGTCTGACTTTGGGAGATATGAGTGTTTCCCAGAAAACACTTTGGGATTTGCCAGGAATGTAGTAAATTTAAACATTGGAGGTGGGTACAATTGATTTTGACAGTTTTCTAAAGCAATAATGATGTGCTTTATTTAATTCAAAATTCTTGAGGAACTCTTTTTCAAAATTCATTGGAATCCCTGTTTTCTTCCAGAAAGAGAAATCCAGACCAATTATTCCGGCCACACTTTCGTGGACCCAGCCATTAGACAGGCGACTAACCGAGTTGACTTGGCAATTAACCAGACGATCCGAAATCTTTTTGACAAGAATCGCACTCACTCAGTTCAGGATCTCATTACAATATTCCGCTATCCATCTGCCGATGCCCTACAACTGGCCAGGGCCGAGGAAATATTTGAGCAGACGCTGGAAATCATACAGAGACATGTTAGTGATGGCCACAAGTACAATCTAAGTGATGATAAAGGTAGGACAATTAAAGCAGAGGAAAAATGGTGACATATGTGGTGAAAAAGTTGTACATGCCACCTCTTTTTTTTTTTAAGCTTGTCTAATGCTAATGTTGTGTATTCTGAAATGTTGCTGAATATGGTCTAAGCTTTTGAAGTCCCTTTCAGTTTAATTCATTTGTTTAAAATGTTGTCTAATCCAGAACATTGTCTACTTACTTATCCTCTCCATGCCTCGTATGACACATGCGGCCATAAAGCATCACTTCATCAGTGTAATTCTTTAGAACCAATGGTGTCTGTAGAAGCCAAGTTTTAATTTTGCGTTTCCTATATTTCAGGTGCAAAAACATTTACCGTAGATACGTGCCTATAAGTCGAATTTTTGGGAGTTAAACTTTGATCCAGAACTCTATGTCCGACTTGTAGGCGAGATATAAAGATATTTGTATTTTAGAGGGTCAGTATTTCTAACATTAGTTCAAAAAATACAACCGACTTATAGGCGGACTGACTTATAGGCGAGTATATACGGTATATGATTTGGGGCATAAAGGTTAAAGGCATGAGGCATAAAATACTTATTTAAAATTCATTTTCTCTTTCTTCTTTTTTAGTATCCAGTTACAAGAAGATCCTCTCTCCTGGTCATCTGGAACTCATTGCCAACATGTCCGGATGCTTTTCCAATCCACGGATTATCCGTTGCTCTGAGATGTGTTACCACAAGAGATTCCGATCCATGGATGGGCTTTGTAACAACCTACACAATCCAACTTGGGGAGCCTCTGTTATTGCTTTACAAAGAATGCTCCCTCCTATCTATGAAAATGGATTCAACACTCCCGTTGGTTAGTGCATGTCAAATTTCATAATGACAAAAGAAAGAAAATAAATCTTAATGTCATTCTTGAAAAAAAAGATTTGAAAAGTGCATCTTGCAACAAAAAATGAAGTTAAAGATTTATCTAAAGCTTTGTTGATAATTGATTTTTTTTTCTTTAAATTAGACATCTTTGAAGTTATGTAATTCTAATTATTCTCAAATAAACAAAACATGACAGAAACCTGGTGATAGTTATTTTGGGGGTAATACATTGTATGTAATGTGGAATCTTAATTCAAAACAGAAATGTTTGCAGATTTATTCTGAACTCATTTACTTCAATAATTGTAAACAATCTTTGTAGGTTGGAATCCCTCCAAGCTGTACAATAACTATCACCTGCCAAGCCCACGTCTGGTGTCCTCATTTCTAATGTCCACAGATCACGTGACAATGGACGAACACAGTACTCACATGTTGATGCAGTGGGGTCAGTTTCTGGACCATGACATGAGCCTGACCCCTCAGTCCGTCAGTAACGCTCGCTTCAGCGACGGTCGCTATTGCAACGAGACTTGTGAGAATCAGTATCCCTGTTTTCCCATTACTGTTCCACGGAGTGACACTCGCATTCAACATGCGTCTTGTCTTGGATTCTCGAGGAGTAGTGCTATTTGTAATTCAGGGAGTACCTCAGTGTTCTATAAGACATTTACTCCCAGGCAGCAGCTTAATGCCATCACTGCATTCATAGATGCAAGTGCCGTCTACGGAAGCAGTGATTTTGAAGCTCAGAGATTAAGGGAATTCACAAATGGACGTGGACTTTTGAGACTGGGAGTATTAACCAGAAATAATAAAAGACTGTTACCTTTTGATACAGGCAATTTTCTTCATCACTTCGACTGCCAAATTGAACCAAGTAAGAGACATGTTCCCTGCTTCAGAGCTGGAGATAATCGTGTGAATGAACATTTAGCCCTCACTGCCATGCACACTTTGTGGACGAGGCACCACAATTATGTAGCTACTGAACTACTAGCTGTGAACCCACACTGGGATGGAAATATATTGTACCACGAATCTAGGAAAATCTTAGGTGCTATGATGCAGCATATTTCTTTTAAATTCTGGTTACCTCAAGTCATAGGAGAAGCTGGGATGGGAAAGCTTGGGTCATACAAGGGCTATGACCCGAGTGTCGACCCATCCATTTCAAATGAATTTGCCACTGCAGCATTCAGGTTTGGGCATTCTCTAGTCCAACCAATCATGTTCAGACTCAATGAAAGTTTTAGCCCCATTCAAGAAGGAAATCTTCCCTTACACAAGGCCTTCTTTTCTCCATACAAAATCTTGGAGGAAGGGGGCATTGACCCACTTTTGAGAGGCCTCTTTGGTGTGGCCTCCAAGAAGCGAATGCCGGAGGAAGTGATGAACAAAGAGCTGACAGAGAAACTCTTCTCTCTGGCAAATGCTGTGGGACAGGACCTGGCCTCCCTCAACATCCAGAGGGGCAGGGACCACGGTCTGCCATTCTACAATGATTACAGGGAGATCTGCGGCATGAAAAGGGTCACTAGTTTTGATGACCTTGCAAACGAGATGCCACAGCGCAATGTGAGGAACAAACTTCAGGCGCTCTACGGACATCCAGGTATTATATAGAAATGAATAAAAATTTACCAGTAATCTGGATGCTTGTGTTCTCAATCAAATATCCAGATTAATAAAGTGTTTAGATTATGTGGTATGTAATAATTTTTCACTGCAAATTTCATGTGGAGGGTGAAGCATCCAGATTATTTGTGTCTGGATTAACAAGGCTCCACTGTTTATCAATTTAATGTATCAAATTTTTATGTGCCCAGATAGATAGATCTGGGGCATATATTGTTTTTGTCCTGTCTGTCTGTTTATGACCTTGTGACCGTGACTGTGACCTACATGCTAATAATTGCTTCTTGTCTGCAAACTTTAACCTTCACCATAACTTTTGAACCATGAAAGATAGAGACTTCATATTTGATATGCATACTCCACTATTAAAGCTCTTTCAAATGACACCAGGTTCAATGACCTTGTGACCTTGACTTTGACCTATATGTTAAAAAAACCTTTTTCAAACTTTCATCATAACTTTTGAACCATAGGAGATAGATACTGCATATTTGGTATTCTCACTCAACTAAGTAAGTTCTCTCAAATGACACCAAGGTCATTGACCTTGTGACCTAGACTGTGACCTTTATGCTAAAATAGCTTTTTCAAACTTTCGCAATAACATTTGAACCATAGGAGATAGAGACTTCATATTTAGTGTGCATATTCCACAAATTAAGTTCTTTTAAATGACTCCAAGGTCAATGACCTTTTGATGTTGACTGAGACCTATATGCTAAAAATAGCCTTTTTCAAACTTTCACCATACCTTTTGAACCATAGGAGATATAGAAGTCATATTCGGTATGCAGAGTCCACTCATTAAGTTCTTTCAAATGAGACCAAGTTCAATGATCTTATGACCTTGACTGTGACCAATATGCTAAAAATAGCTTTTTTGAACTTTGTTGCCATGGGTGCATAGTGTTTCACAAACACATCTTGTTAGTATTTTTCTCAATTCATCTGATTTAAAAAAAATGATTTTATTGATCTCATCTATTAGTCCACATGTTAGACATGTAACAAGCTTTGTACATGTATCCTAATAAAACTGAAGGTGCATTATTTTACAGACAACATTGATCTGTTTGTTGGGGGAATGGCAGAGAAGCCGGTTGATGGAGGCAAAGTTGGACCAACATTTTTATGTATCATTGTAGACCAGTTCAAAAGAACAAGGGATGGAGACAGGTAAAGATCATCATTTTACAAAATCATAAAAGAAGAAATAACCATATACCGGTATTTGTTTTTGACAAGAAAACTTTCAAATACTTTCTTTAGTTCAAATGAAAAAGAAAATGACTCGATGAAACTAATACACGTATTCAAAAACCAGAAGTTGTTAAAGTAGATTGAAATCAGGAATTTATAAAAATTGTAAGTGAACTTGCTGTAATAATTTTAAACTTGGATTGAATTACGTATTTCAGGTTCTGGTATGAAAACCCTGGAGTATTTGAGTCTAACCAGCTGTCTGAGCTACAGCAGGTGACACTGGCTCAGGTGATCTGTCAGAGTAGTGATAACATACAGAGAGTTCAGAGGGACGTGTTCATCAAGGCCGAGAGTGATGCCGACTACCTTAACTGTTCTAAGATCCCCAAACTCAACCTTAAAGTTTGGTCTGATTGCTGTACAAGTAAGTGGTTCAAAAATACAGTAAAAATACATTTTTTCTGGAGGATTATACATATAATTCATTGAAATCACAATTTCTGTTCAATCCACAAGAAAAAACATTCAATATCTTAGAAACCTTTAGTTACTGTTTCTTGCACTTGCAAAATTTGATTTGATGATCCTGATGTAAATAGCAAAAAAGTGGTTTACATCATCATTATATTGTAGATTGTGAGAAATCTGGAAACTTCCAGTCTCTAACCAACCATTTCCGAAGGGCACAGAATTCCCAGTTTTCCCATCGAGAGGACAGAGAGCATAACACCATACTAGGGTCACAACCTCCAGCAGACAATACTCAGATACAAACCCTCAACGACCAAATGTCAGCCATTGACACAAAGTTCTCAAAAATGGAAAATGAGATCCAGACACTGACAAAAACAGTGGTCACATTGAAAAGAAAGGTAAAATAATCATTTACATGTACTATTATGCACTGGCAGTTTTAGAGAGGGGGCCAGCCCTCCCCCCCCCCACTTTTTTGTGTCCAAAATAAACATAAAATTTAATAATTAATTCAATATTTTTTGGTGTTTGTGAGCCATTACCCAAACCCCAAATTTGTTGGCCCCATCGCCCTTTTTCAAGATTTCTGGATCTGCCCCTGTTATGATTGAATAAAGATACAAAACATTTTACAGTGAATTTTTGTTGTAGAGAATCAGAATCTGATTCATGGTTTTTTATTGGCATCGTTGGTTCAGGGGGAGGGGGATGTAAAAAGTTTTTATGGAGCATTTCTTTTTTCTTATTTGCATGTACATATGATTATTTATGTAACCTTTAAATTTAATTACAGTAATTGCTATATTTTGGGTAAAAAAAATTCTTTAGAATATCTTTTCCATTGAAATTAGCATAATTTTCATTTAGAAGTTTTAAAATAGATTTTACACTCCCTGACCCAATATAAATACTGAATGTAAAGTAGGATCTGAATGCCATTTAATGTTCCCCTACTTACTGATGAACTCAAAATACATGAAAAAAAAATGAAAACAGTTTAAAAGGTGCAAGAAAATAACAATTATCATGGAGGAAATTTTACATAATGCACTTCTTTTATTTTAAGTGGAGAAAAATGAACAAATATATGAGGAAGACAATGAGAAAACCTGGTTGTTATGACAACAAAGGACAGAAGAGGAAGCACTTAGACTCATGGGATGTCAATAAGTGCAAGACATGTACTTGTAGGGTAAGTTTGGTAGCACAGAGAAATTATAGCTTACAGTCCCTGAAACGTTCTACTTTCCCACCTGAACGGTGAGCGAACGCTGAACGAACGGTGAACGAACGCAGAGCGAACGGTGAACGAACGGTGAACGAACGGTGTGTGAACGCTGAACGCAACTTGGTGAACGATGTGTGAACGGAGAACGGTGAGTGAACGCAGAACGCGAACGGAGCGCAAACGGTGAACGGTGAACGAACGGTGAACGCAAGATGAACGACTTATTCGGAATGCATCAGATTTTTTCCTTGCATTTAAATTATTCTGTTATATTCTAATGTTAGATGCTAAAATATAAATAAACAATAAATAAATAAGTGAATAAATAATTAAAACATTTTTTCTGCACATACGTTTGATGTTTTAAAAAATATTTTAATAACACAATTTTTATTGCCGTAAAACATGTGTGTTTGTTACCGAACATCTGTCGTATAAAAGATAAAATTAATTTACTAATAAAATAAATCTGCTTATTCTTTTGACTATTAAAATAATGTGGACTTCAGACGAGAAAACTACTATACTTACAGAATGAATTATTAGATTAAAACTAAATAATATATATTTCGATGTCACGGCGATTCCGTGTAAAATACCGATTTTTTTTATTACTTTATAAAGGTTTGTTGACAAATTGCACCATTCACTCGTATTAAAAAAAACTATGCAATAATATTATATATTTATAAGTTATTTTTATTTTGTCTGGTTATTTTCTAAGCTAAGTTTTACATGCAAATGTATATCTGAAGACATTTCCCGACAATGATTATACTCGGACAAGATAATGGATAGAAGCATTCAAATTATTTGTAATAGATTAGAATTTCAGAACTAAATAAATAATAAATATGTTGTCATAGTTTTTATTTAACATGACAAATGTAATAGCGATAGAAACTTGAGAGAGAGAGAGAGAGAGAGAGAGAGAGAGAGAGAGAGATTTGTTGCATCGAATAAAAATTCATATATTAATTTTTTTTCTAATATTCCAGGCAGTCAAATTAATCATTTATTTTATTAACAAATCCATTTGACAGTAAGCATCGGGTTTTTTTTTCCTTCAAGTTCAAACGATTCACTCCAAGTGCACGTGCTTGTCCTGTCAATCAAAATAATTCGACACAATGGAGGTGTTTAAATCTCGCTTCAACGAACATGCCGAAGTCAAAGAGTCACTTCGTATTCCCGAGAAGTTTTAACATTTTGTTTACATCATTTTTAAATTTGATTTTCGCTTTTCTACGGAAAAAATGAATAAATAATTGCAATACATGTATATACCTGGAAGGATTAAGTTTGAAATTGAATTTAAAACATAATCCCTGCCAAATCAAAATACCACTGTCGGCACATGTATGTATATAATGACTGTTTTGATGTTTGTATAAAGAATATTTTTTTCTGTGTTACATGTACAATACACATTGAATATTAATTAATATATACTGAAAATACTAACTAAGAATTTGATTTCGGGAGAAAGGGTGCCGGGGGGGGGGGGGGGGGCTGTTAAGCATACTGAATGGCAAAAGTATATTTAGTTACTTGAAAGAAGGTTTTTTCCTTTGTAATGATACACTTTATTTACGTGATGTAGAACCAAAAATTATATTGTATTAAAATTTAAACAGTTCGTCTTTTTTAAAATTTAGAATCACACTAACAATTTAATTCGCTCTACAAATATTTAATTAACTGAATTTCTGTAGTACTATTCATAATTCTCAGACATATAAATAGTTCTAGCATGTTTGTGTTTATTTTTTCTTTAAAAACTTGTTAGACATATTTTTTTGTGTATTCCTGTCTTGTAAAATTATTATTCATCTATTAACGATTTTTTGTTGTCTTTTATATTATAACGAAATGCCGCGCTTTAAGTATTTGTTAGGGACATTGCCCTTATTTAAATTCAATATTTTAGCATCGTTCTACTTATATGTATGTTCTTAATGTATTTTTTCCAGGGAAAAATGGATAAAGTAACAGCTAAGTTATAATAATAGAAATATATATATATCGTAGATACTTTTTGCATTGAAATAATTATTCTTTAAACACGATATCTTAGTTATTTAATTAAAAAACGTGTTAATCCTTACCATCAAAAAGATAAGTCCTTTCACTTCGGAGTTCCGAATGACAATAAAGACTGAACGATAAGTGAACGGTGAACGCAAGGTGAACGCAAACTAAACGGAACGAAGAGCGAACGGTGAACGTTTTGTGAACGGTGAACGCGAGCGCATGGTAAACGGTGAACGCAAAACTGTGAACGGAGAGCGAACGGTGAACGCACGCTGAACGAACGGTGAACGCACGCTGAACGAACGGTGAACGAACGGTGAGCGAACGGAAAAATGGGAAAGTAGAACGTTTCAGGGACTGTATAACCTAAATGGATATCAAGTTTCAATGCCCTAATGTGCGATACATTATTTTAACATTGTATTTGAACTTTGGAGTTATAAATTAACATGAAAAAATTTTTACTCATATATTGAGTCATATATTGAAGAGCATTATCTGAACTTTGTGCTTTATTCAAAAGTAATTTTCCTCTGAAATATTTCTTTTGATTTAAGTCTGAAAAAAAATCTTTATATTTTTTTTTTACAGGGAGATCAAGTTGAGTGTACAAAACAGTCTTGTCCAGTTCTACAATGTCCCAACCCTAGATCAGTCCTAGATCAGTGTTGTCCCGTGTGTTAGTCAAACAGACAGACAGACTGACAATCATATGTGGTGCAAGAGAGAGAGAGAGAGAAAAATTCCAGAAGATTGCAAGGGAGAAATCCCATTTGTGTGTCATTATAGTGAACAATTGCAATTAATGTTTGCACATTATCTCATGGTGCAACAAGGTACCGAGGTATATACATGCATTATGTGTTAAAACTGCTATGATCATAGAATATAAACATGCTTTTAAAAAGTATTACCATTTGTGTGAAGGAGGGATAAGTGATTGTGCATATATTATCATTAACTGAATGTCTCATGTTTGAAAGGTTGATTTTTATATTTTGTCTCCACATTTACGAGATATATTTTCTGTAATCTTTTTAGTATGTAGTTCGTTGCTTTTTGTCCCACACTGAAAGCTTTTTTTATACAAAGGAAGACAAACCCAAGTATTTTTTTGTTTGGTCTTCCACATACACGTCAAAGCAATATGTTTCAATAATTGAATTTATCTCCATAGAAAGAAAGAGCAAAACTCAAAGGATCTGCTCCTTAATATAGATATATATATATATCTTTTTATTGCAGTATCATGCTATATGTTAATTTGTTTTTTTAAATGGATACAGACTCTGAAATTGATATAAAGGCTGAAAATTAGATATGTGTATACTTCAAAAAAAGAGAAAATGTCAAAATATTTTCCAAGTTACTCAAATGTGTTCAACAGTTTACCCAATGTCCTTAATTAGAATTTACTGGATTCTTTATACACGTGTACTGAAATGGGTAATTTGAAAATTTGCTTGGCTATGCTAAAATCATCCAATAATTATAATATTGCATGCTATATTTCTACCTCAATCCCAGCTTTTCCTAATACTAACACCTTGTGTAATTTTTTTGTATCTTATCATTGTATAAATTCTTAAATGTTTGCTGTAATATTTTATATAAACACTTGCTTATATTTCACTTGGATGAATGAATTTTTTCTTACAAGACAATTTACCTAATACCAATGGTAAAATCATGATAGTGAATTCTTATTAATAAGGAAGATTTAATAAATATTGTCAATTGTGGACTTCGCAGTGAATTTTATCCCCTTACAAGTTCCATGAATTTGCTTTGACAACACAATCCCTTGTGGCTTAATGGCCAGAATTAAAATACTCAATTGGAAAATGACTTTTTTTCAGATCATTTTTGTATGCTATAGCAGTTAATGCCTCTTTCTTGATAGTTGTATTGAGTTCAATTGAAAATTTTATAGTGAAAATTGGTGCTTCTGTAGCAAGTAATGCATGCTATTTTAGATACAAGATATTCGTTGACAAAATAAATTGTGTATGTTCATTGCGTACTTTGAAGTTTTATTGTACTCATTTCATTTTCAAAATGGTGCTTTCTATGAATTGTGATTAGTAGTAATGGTTTTTTTTTTTGAAATATTTTATATGTGAATGTTTCTAGATGATTTAATGATTTGATAATGATGAAATATTGTTTATTTCTCTTTCTGTTAAGCAAAAATACCACAGATTTGCTGAAAAATAGAAAAATGTATTATTTTCAATTTCCATGAAAATTTATCCATAAAATGCTTGAGAGATGCATCCATTTTTCTTTAATCTAGAAATTATAAAGTCACATAGTGTGATGTCTCGCATTTAGAACTTTTACTTCATTAGATCTTTATTTGTAATCTATTAAGATCCTCAGGTATAGACATAAAAATCAGTTATTATGATTTATGTTCATGAATTTACTCTTAAAAAGAGTGAAAAATAAAATTAAAGATCTGCTGATACTTTTTTTTTAAATACCTGATTGATATTTGTTTGTAAATGAATTAATTTAAAAACCTCAGAAAATTAATTTACATTTTGTATATTAAATAAAATGACTATGTATGTTTTTTTTTATATTTATGAAAATAAAAACTTGAGAATTCAGAGTGTTTCTACTGCACTGTAATAATGAAATTAATTAAGACTACATGTACATGAAAATAAGTCTCTTGCTGTTGTCTCAATTCAACAGACATATCAATGCCATTCTAACAATTAACAATATAAATTTTATTCTTAAATTGACTTTATATATCCCTTTGAACTTGAAGAAAAAGACACCATAGAGTCTGTCTCATTGTTTTCATATTTTGATATTTAAAATGATAAGCTTACAACAAAACTTGATGATAAACATGATTATTTTACCTTTTCTATTGTCAACCATCCTGTGCAGCCCTTTATCCCTTGCATATAGAGTATATTTCTCTCATTTGATTCAATATGCAAGAATATGCTCTATGTCGGGCCTCTAAGTGACCTCTAGGTGCCTAAGCTGGCTCTTAATCAAATAATTTCAGTCGCCAATGAAATTTTTTTTATGCTTTGATTCCTTATATTTACATGTGAAATTTCTCAAATTTCAAAAACAGTTCAATAAGATCTAAATTCAAAAGCATGAGAAAATGCACATTTTTATACTATTTTTACTTTGTTTTCATATCTGCAGAATAAGTATACATGTTCTCTTTATCTTCCAAATTATTCTACTATCTGAAGAAAAAATATTGTTCATCCAATGTCACATACATAGAAATCCTCAGTTGATTTTTCAAGAAAGTTTCTTGAAATTACAACTTGATTCTGGAGTGTAGTAATTAGGAGATTATGCTTAAGATCAGACTTGACAGTTTTCTACTAAGAACCACAAAAAGTTGAGCTAAAACAAGAAATACTCAGTATAGATTTTAAAGTGATTTATTCATGCAAAACTATAAGTATCAAACAGATATATTGCACAGTTATACAGGTATGTAGTACTAATGTGCAGTTTTGTAATCACAGAAAAATGGCTGCCAAATTTACTTTCAAATATATACATGTGTCCATCCACATCTAAAAGCATCTCTACATCAAGTCCTGAGATTCTGTACTTTTTTCCATATAAAAATATTTGTTTACTCTCTGTCAAGATAGGATCTAGAAGTGTTACAAGGAAATAATAGAGTGTATGTATCTGTTCATATTTACTATCTCGTACAACAATTACAAAGAGTTTTATGGTCCCTAATTCAAATACAACAAAATACAAATTTGCAGTGGTGTAGATTTTCAAAAATTCTCATTCATCTTTAATTTTCATATCAGCTAGCTCAAACTAATTCTTCAGAAATGTAATGGGGATGAAAATGGCAAATTTAAACAAACTAAATTTTTTTTTGCTTCAACGCATGATGGTAGTCAATTAAATTGTAAAGGAATGAGTTTAATAGCTACCCAAGTTGAACAGTAAAGCCTGGGTTGGGGCAGTTTATGCTTTATTAACTATGAAGCCCCCAACCAATCGATACTGTGTATCTTCCGTTAGTATAATATGCACTGGTTTTAACTGACAGATAATCATGATATGGAGCACAAGATTTGACTGATAAATTGAAGGTTCCATAAAAATGTGTTGCATGACTCCAAATCCAGATAAGATATGTAAAGAGGCAAAGTAAAGTAGCCTGATCTTTTTTGTACTTGAAATTCTTAAAAAGTTAAAACCAGAAAAGTACATATGCATGTATCTCCAAAGCCTTGCTATTCACACATTTTTAGAAAAACTATCAATTTACATCTTGTTTGTCATTGGTCTACATTATAAATACAAAAATACTTGTACACAAAAATGCAAATTTGCATAAACCTTCCATTATAACAGTTATTCATATCTTTATAGTCAGTTAAATAGCAACACTTCACACATCTTGTAAAATAACATCTATATAAACAAAAAAAGACAAACATGTATTTTGAACAAGTAAAAAGCATCAATAAAAATACCATATATCTTAGGATTTCTTCATTTGCATTACTTCCTTATCATTTACATCAAGTTACAAGACAGATTATGCATTACAAAAGATGACAAAAAAATCAGTTTTAAATATGCTTCATTCTGCATCTCACACATTCGTATGGCTCTGGCACATAATGAATTAAAAGACATTTCTTAATGCATTTGATCATATTAAATATTTATCATACTGATGAAAATGCCAAATTCTGATGCATCATACATTTCAAACATGCTTTTATTTTTAAATAAAATCTTGAATCACATTGCTCCATAATCTAATTGATACATCCTATCTTTACATGAAAACTTCTCATTTTACATATTCTTAAATCATCTAAGTACCACACAATTGACAATGAAGTATAACTTTATCATTTTTTAAAAATTAAGAATATCATTCATTTACTTTCTTTCATTTGTTTATGAATTATCTATCTCATGCTTACAATACTGTACACATAGTTCAACTGTACAAATTTCATCTGTTGAGTATGTGTGTATGTACTTCAACTCGGCAGTTTTATTTTGCTCAATGACAGAACAAAGAAATTAGAAATATGATTCACAGTTATATAAGATAATTAACATGTGTTTAACACAATGATTGCAATCCAATAAAAAAAAATGCAAAAAATATTTAAATACGAGATATTTGTTCAACGTTAAAGAAAAAATAACAGGATTTTTTATGTGCTACTAAAATTCTTTTCATCTAATATTGATAAGAAATTAAAAATAAAAATAAGGAAAAAAGCCTTTCTATAAAAAATATCACAAAATAATTTTTAATATAACACTGTATATCACCTACAGCTAACAAGCACATTGTGTCCTACTCTCCCCTCGGGGAGATGAGTGTGAAAAAAAGTTCCGCAATGATTGTACCCTGTCTGAGTCAGAAACTCCGAAATCTCCGGCTTCAGTCTATCAAAGTATACAATATGACTAGGTGGGGGTTTCCTCTGGAAGTGGTACTGTTTCTTTAGCCAGTACAGAGGATCATTGTAGAAATCATCTGCCTCGTCTATATAGTGTTCCTTCTTAGAGAGGTTAGGTTCGCAGGTCAGGAACCTCATAGAGATGTTTCTGTGTAGGTAACTGTAAAAATATTATAAAAAAAATATACATGAAGATAATCCAATAATATGCAAAAGTATTCATACTTAAAGCTACTGAAGAAGTAAATTTAGTAATTTTATAGGACTTTTTATCAACTTGAACAGTGGTTAACAGAAAAATATTTCTGCCATAACATTCTCCAAAAAAAGGAATGGTTTCAAAATTCATGAACATGTGTAAATACAAATAAATATAGCAAAAAATTTATAGCTCTTCTTATTATTTATAAATCCTCTTGTGCTTACATGTACTTATAATCTAAGACTTTATAACATTGTTTCTGTATCTTTACCTGTAATAAGGCGTAGAGTGACATGGCATGAGAAACAAAACATCCATATTTTTTTCAAAGCTCTCGTCATACAGAAATTTCATGACAACCACTGTCCCTCTCTGGTGAATGAGACCAAAGTAAACGGTTGCTGGAATATTAATGAGTAGAAAAACCATCACAAGGATCCAGGCTTTCAGCAGGTTGCTTTTGTGTGTCATTTCCTGTGCAACCTGTGCATCTTCTGCACTGACTGGAACTTTTGATGAACTTTCTACATTCCCTAGAATGTCTCGAGTCTCGATATTTTCTGTTGTATTTTCTGTTCTAGATTCCTCAGAATCTGCTGAAGTCTGATTTTGGTCATTTTCTGTGCTTCCTTTGCTGCCTGCTTTTTGATTGCTCTCAGACGTCTTTGCAGATTTGTGCTTCTTTTTCTTTAGACTTGGTTTCTTGCACAAGGTTTGGAAAAAGACACCGCAGTAGTGCATAGATACAGGTAGAATTTGAAGCAAAAATCTGAATTCCTTGTGAGCAAGGAAACTGAAATAAAAGTTAATCATAACTGATACAAAAAAAAAAAAGAAAATTAGATTTTAAATAATGATTATTGATAAGTATGCAGTGCCATAGTAAAAGAAACTTTACACTCATATATCTGATATACATGTAAATTTATATAAGCATAAAGGTAGGTCACACCAAATGATGCTTGATTTTCAATTTTATGCTTAAATTCTAACAGTCTCCTAATTATTACCTGTAAATAAATATATTCCATATGATCAACATCAGCAGTACTTTGTGTTTGGAGTACCATCCACCAATCAAAAATGGTATAAGATGTGTTGCCATGACAACAGGATAGCCCTGTGTGATGTACCAGTGCCAGGGATGGCTGCCATAGAAGGCCGATCCACCGTGGAGTACATTAAATTCCAGAAAATTGTACTGAACTAAGATCCACTCCCCATAGAAAATCCTGTCCACCAGTACACTAATTAATAGGAGAACTGATCTGTGGGATATAAAAATCAGTTTATAAATTCTGTTCAAAACTATCAATTAACTTTTAGCAGAGAGGACATTTGTGATAGGATAAATTTAAAGTCAGATAATATGATATCCCTTATTCAACTGAAAATAAAATTTTCAGCTATCAATGTTAATTTAGTCAACTTTTCTCTTGCTATTTCAAAATGTACAACATAAATTAACAAGCAAATCTTCAATAAATAAAAACACTTTTTAATGCTGGGACACTGTACATCCAGGTCAGATTACCCTTTCTTTCAGCTGCAATAATAAAGCCCTCTCTGATTGTTTATCTGATGTTTTAGGGAGAGTTTAGGGTTACATTATTGTAGCTTTATTTCTTTGTCACGTTGTGTACAATATGATTTAAGTACATAGTGTTGTCCACTTTTTATAAATATGAACAATTTTCGTGTAATTATGCGAGTGTTCTTACAAAAGATTTAAAGTTCATGTATGTTTGTAGTGCAAAAGATTATCAGAATTAATTTTGTGAAAATTGTGCCTCACTTATCAACATCAAAAGGCCATCTCACGAAATAAAAGCAATAGGGATGGGTATAGCTAAAAATTTCGTATTGCGATATACATGTATCACGATTTTTTAACCAAAATATCACAATAATATCACAATATTTTTACGAGCAATTTTTACAATGATTCTAAATGAATAGTCATAATTTTTCTTTAAAATATGCTAGAAAAACAAAATTTCACTATTTTGAAATTTTTTTGTACATAAAATTAATCATGTTTGGATGGTAAAATACTGTTCTTTTCACCTTTTACAACATTTTTTAGACTTTCTATAATTGTAATTTGAAAGATTGAACAAATAAATGAATAATTTCTGGACTTTATAATATGTACCTAAAGACTGGTATTTAAGTCTCCGTATCACGATTTACCGGTATACCGATAAAATCACACATCCCTAAAAAGCAACATAAAAATTTGGTGATCTACAGTATCCTGGGTACTTACCCATACTGGAGATAAACCCTGATTGTCTTCCACAGTTTCGCTGCATTCAGCTGTACGTGCCAGGAGCACATTAGGACCCAGGTTATAGCAGCAGTGGGTCTGATCAACACAGACAAGACAGCCAGACTCACAAACTTCCAGGTGCTGGACTTCTTCCCATGGGTACCACTAATATGTTAACAAGAATAGTATTCAGGACATAAAAAGCATTATAGAATAAAAAAATCATTTTCAACCTTTTACACTTACCAGGTATCTGAGTAATAAATTAAGAGGTTTAGAAATTCAAGTAAATTATCATCCAATATTTATGTTTTAAAGAAAGATATGCAAATAAATACTATAGTAATTAATTACATTAGGTTTAAAAACTTAACAAAATTTCATTATTAAAAGTATACAAAGTGCAGATTACCGGTATTATAAGTACATGTATTAATGGTTTGTATACCTTCTTATATTAGGCCATGGAAAGTAGTATAGAGCAACTGTCACTAAAACAGATTCCATAGAATTTGTGAGCGTCCTGGTGCAGCAGTAAAGAGTAAACCAGGAGGTAATCTGACAGAATAACGTCCACTGAGCGGTCGCTCGGTCTGCCAGCTTCCAGCTCAGTTTATACAAGTACAAATCACCCCATGCTGCAAAAATACCCTGTAGGACTCTTGGTAACTTTATCTAAAAAAGAAAATAATATTTCAAAATTCTTTTGTCAATGGAAAAAAAGCTTAATTAATAAAGTTATTTGCTTTAATGATGTGGTTTTGTAAGACTTTGTCAAATAAGAAAAAATTCTTACCAATAGCAGTCTGTGATCCAGACCAAATATGGCTAGAAATTTGTATAAAATGGCAAACATTGATGGATATAAATAAGCACGTAAACCGTGCACCCATTCCCATGTTAAGTATCCATAACTACAAGAAAGAATGCAAAACTCTTGAAAAAACAGTTATTAGACTAATCCAGTAAATTTTGTAGTTTTTTTGGTAAAGTAAAAAGACCCCTTCTAACTTGCAAAACTACATTTCATATTATATCTGTAATTTTTAAACATTTGGATTAAAAGCTAATTGTACCCAAAAACAATGTTGTGTGATACTTCTAAAGACTGCCAGTATTCATCTGGTACATATGATGTCTGGATAAAAAGTGCATTTACAATTCGCAGGGCTATCAAGCCACTAAAAAGTTTTCTTTCAGATGACATGATTGTTTTAATGATAGATGGTCCAAGTATTTCATCATCAAATAAATATCCCTCCTCTTCTTCCTTATTGTATATTTGTTCATCCTCAGGGAGGTTAGAGGTGTTGAGTTTATTTGTGTTTCTAGCCTGGTCAAGCTCATCTGGTCCATGTTTCATTTTACGCCTACGAATAGTAGCAGCACATTTTCCATCCTTTGTCATTTTTTTCCTGGAAATTTCTGAAACATAAATCATAAGAATACTTTGTTAATTTCAATATTATCCATGTATTCAGTTTTGTAAACGTTAGCTGGTTAGTAGTCTGTTGTCGTTCTCTAAACATACATGTATATCAGTCATTACCCTACATGTACAATATTCTGTTAAATAAAACAAGATGCATATCATAAAGTTTAAAGCAATAACTGTTTTTATTAGCATCATCTAGAACAGCTAAGAAAATAAAATGGTTCAGATTAAGTTACACACCTTGTTCTTTAGACTGTTTCACTGTTTCATCCGCCAATGGCACCAGTAGATCAACAGCGATCGATCACATACTCTGACTTCTTTCAACAGGAATAATTTTAAATAATCGATAAGAAGCACTAATGCAGTAGAGAATATGTATCCGTATCGATCACATACTTTCCTAGTGAAATAGTTTATATTCAATGTTGATAACAACTTTATAATAACACCTATTCCAACTCATTCTTTCAAACGCTTGTTTGAACGAGATTAAGGCAACTATAAAATAAAAACGAAACTGTTTGAGGAATTCTTTCCGGCACATGACCTGAATTGCTTAAATAAGGACTCATGGCTTTTTAAGAAATTTATTGATTTATTATCTTCATTTTTTGAATATTTGTTATTTGAAAAAATATACAATTTATTTTTATGAAATTGCTAAACTACATTGTTGATATGGACGATTCCATTTATGGTTGCACCTACAAAATAGACCAATGAAAACGCTGGCTGCTGATGACCCACTAAAAAAACATTGCAAACGTGCAGACGGGAAGGATGGAGTCCTCTATGGTCAGCAAAGATATACCAGATATTGAGGTAACCTTTATATCTTGCAAATGTATTTGACTAATTGTTTACCATCTTATATTGATGCATTAAATAAAGTTGCTATATTCCGTATTCTTGCGCTATGATACTGGCTGCGCATTTATGAAGAAAATTAGGTCATTTCGCTGACCCAGTACAATTATGGTGGAGGCTGAGATTTACAAAAAGTGAGTTAGTACCGACTCCATGATGGTTGTCAGTTATCATCGAACATTACAGTATTAGTCTAACGTTACATGTCATGGAGCTCAAATAAAAAAAATTGCTCAAGATGAGTTGAATCAAATACAGTAATTCAGATAAATAAATTACATAATCAAACGTGTACACAATGGGTATAGCATGTGCTTTTTGGTGCAAGTAATAAAGTGCAATTTTTATGCTGCAAAGTCATGCATGCCATCAGTTTATTTTGAAACAAAATGTAAGAGAATCTGTCGCAATCTTAGTAGAAACAATATTATATATTGTTTGATCGTTAAGATGGTGGGAAAAAATAATGATCGATATACTAGTAATGACAAACCAATTATAGAAATCTTTACAAAAAAATTATTTGTTGTATTTAATGTGTAATAGAGAGATATTTAATCTTTTTATTTTTTACTTAATTCAAGCAGTAATTTTTACATTAATTTATGCTAAAAATAAGAAAGTACATCATTCATTTAATACACTGTGAGTTACACTGGAAAACTTAAACAAATTTGTTATTTTTTGCAATGAAAATTCGGAATGATGAATCAAAAAAACAAGTCATGGAGAAATTGAAATTCTTTCCTGCATGCCATTTATTAAAACTAATGTGTGAATATTTATGTTTCAGAATTTACTTGCACTGAATCCAAAAGTGACCAAGTATGCCAATCTGGTGTCAAGCACTGAGACCAAAAACAACAAAAAGCACTGGAAACGTAACAGTACAAAAGGCTGCTCGGTATGTATGTTAATAGAGGTTAACAGGTACACTGGAAATGTAACAAAACTAGAGGTACTGTGAGCAATGAGCTCACTAAATGATACCCCCCGCCTCCCATATGATTATAACTGATGACAAAGTCCATGTTTTGCTGTGGCCGGGAAACCCAAAATGTGTGTCGGATCAAAGAGTAAAGTAGGAGGTGCACAATGGCAATATATAATAAAGATTCTGTGAAAGTTTCATTAAATTTCACAAAAAGCACTAAAGCGTAACAGACGGACGGACGTACAGCTCGACGGATGGACGGACAGACGGACGGAAATCCCGATTACTATATACCCTCCCACTTTTCAAGCGGGGGGTATAATAAAAGGCTGGTAATAAAGGACAGGACACTGATGATGTCAACCATAGTAATGGTTTGCCATCTGTTCAGAGTGTAATTGCAAATTATTCAAGGAACTGCCCTGAATTTCAATCATCATGTATATTTTTTAAACCTATTTGTGTCAATTTAAAATCTGTTCCAGTTACAGGAGAAAAGTTATTTGTAGGGCTGGGTATTGAAAGAAATTTTTCGATACGATACATATTGCAATACAGAGGGTTAACATTTTGCTGATACAACAGAGAATACACTATTTTTGCATGTTGTTTTAAAGAGGTGATAGTATTTTTTGATTAAAGCAAAAATTTACAATAATAAAACATTTTAAAAAAGGCAAGTGTATGACAGATTCAATCTGCCCATAAAGGAGTCCTTTTGCATGTAAATATGTTGCCACTGGTGACATCACAACATTGACCTGTTTGACTCTGTTGATACTTCACTTGATGTCGTATTCGTGGAAGTAATGGCAGATAAAATATTTTACCAAACTGCTTTGAGTTAAAGTAAATTATGACTTAAAAATTCTGATTGATATCTTATTATCGGTTTACATTCTATGACTTTTTTTGCCGCGCCATTTTACCTACCGGAATTGAATTTCAGTAGCAAACATCAATGTTATATTAATAATATATAACCTCGTTGTGTCAAATATAATTACATTTTGCCTTTTTGCTGCTAACTTTAAGTTTTACCTAGCGACCCTACACTTTTGACATGTTTACATGTATGCGATTTTAGATAAGCTGTTCGTAATATTAGTCACTTTACTCTTATTTAAACGTTGAAATAAGAAAAGAAATAACTAAAAAATATCGATATATACCGATTACCGATATATTGATCCAGCCCTAGAAATAACTGAGAATTACTTAAGTACTGGGGGTAGATGAATTAATATAAATAAGAATAAATGCAGATTCTGCATAACAATTATTTACTTACATACTAAAGAATGAGTAAAATCTACACTGCATAATGTAGACAAGTGTATTGAATATAAGAGCAATGTATTAATTTCCAGGACTGTCCCCCTAGAACTAAAAACTTTGATGACATTAAGCACACAACACTGAGTGAGCGAGGGGCTCTTAGGGAGGCAGCCAGGTAGGGCATATTTGATCTTACTCTTCATACATACTAGTATCTACATGATTGTACTTTATATTGATATTTTTCTGTAGAATAGTACATTGATCATTTTCTTTTAATAACTGTCAAATTCTTCTTTTCATCGTGTATGTATACAGAGTCAATTTCTAATAAACTATTTTAAAATTTATAGGTGTTTGAAATGTGCCGATGCACCATGTCAGAAAAGCTGCCCAACTCAGCTAGACATCAAATCTTTTATTACCAGTATTGCAAATAAGGTATTTATCTTTATTTCATAATTGAAAAATAAAATCTTGGTCAAATCAATTGATTTATAAACATGGATATTTTTTATTCCATGTTTTTTTTTTTACAGAATTACTATGGGGCAGCCAAGGCAATCTTTTCAGACAACCCCCTTGGCCTTACATGTGGAATGGTCTGCCCGACCTCTGACCTTTGTGTTGGAGGATGCAATCTGTATGCTGCAGAGGAAGGTCCCATTAACATCGGGGGGCTACAGCAATTTGCTACTGAGGTAACAATATACTAAAGAACTTAGCTACACATGGATTTAAAAAAAAAAAGTACTAATATGGATAGATGCATTATATGTGGATTTTAATACAAATTTCAAAAGACTCACATTTAAGTTTTAAATTCTCTTAAAATTGAAACAAAAGAATGCTTTTCATTTTAAAGATTTTGTGCATAGTCAAAGTGTTAAGTTGTGCAGTGTTGAATTTTTATGCAACTAGATGTAATAGAGAAATCTAACATGCATAAATGACATACTGATAGGTTTTATTTCACAAAGTGTTTAAAATTTAAAGTCCTTACAAAATTAACCTGATATCACAGCCTTCACAGGTTCTGTTGTGCCACTCATTTAGGTACCTTGATACTATAGGTATTTTCTTTGGCTGGAAAGGTGTCTTTATCTTGAATATTGACCTACTTCAATATGTGAACAATTGATTGGTTTCAGTGTTGGTTTGTGTATAAATAAAGTCATTTGAATTCAGCACTGAATGTAATCAAAATCTAAACAGAAATAAGTAAAAAGTGAAAGAACATGGACAAAAAACTCACCTGCAGACTGAATGTAAAAGTCTAATGGTGAAATATTAGGTACATTTGTACTGAATATTCTAACTACTCATGATTTTCGAGGAGTAGAGCAGAAATGCAGTAAAAGGAAATAATCAAGTAAAATCTATTTATGACTTTTTCTTCCAGTATTTACTGCACCATATCCATGACTGGGAGGGAATCAAAAATACAATAAAATGAAATAATCAAGCAAGACATGTTAATGTCATTGTTAACTCTTTCATTATATAGATTTTTAAGGCCATGAAGATTCCTCAGATAAGGGACCCGTCTTTGCCCCCTATGGAGGATCTCCCTGATAGTTACAGGGCTAAGGTGGCCCTGCTGGGCTGTGGACCAGCCAGTATTAGCTGTGCCACCTTCCTGGCCAGGCTTGGTTACACGGATCTTACTATATATGAGAAATATGACTACATTGGGGGACTGAGGTACATCCATTTCTTCTTGATCCAGTCCTGAAACAAAACCCAGAAAAGCTACCCTGCACACTTAGTAGCAGTCTTTGCCCCAAAAAACCCACAAATGAAACCCAAAAAAGTTTATTAAAAACAGGAACATTTGTGAATTATTTATTGCAATATTCACATTAATATGTTCTACAAACTTAGTATCCTTTGTACACTTCTTCTTTAAATCTTCCTGTAATACCTGTAATATACTGTAAGCCTGTAATCTTTTACAGCTCATCTGAGATCCCCCAGTATCGCTTACCTTACAGTGTTGTTGACTTTGAGGTTCAACTTGCTAAAGATCTTGGTGTCAAAGTAAGAACTCTCTGTTTATCAATTTATAAGATAAAACTGAAAATGTGTTACATTATAATTGTATTACTTTATGCACAATGATGATTTTTAAAAGCATTACAATTCATATTCGTATAATTTAAAATTTCTAAAATAGAAGAAGACAGAAATATTCTTGAAATGAATTATTGTGACCATGCAGAAGGAGATACAATCTGATTAAAACCAGATCCTTTGATCCGCTCACATTAATCGCGTCACAAGGATCTGAAGAAACCCAATTCAGGGTCATCTCCTGGTGACCTCTCAATTATCCAATCAAACGTTCACTTCCAAGAATTAAGAAATATCTTGGAATTTAGTTACAGAAGTAAAAGCCCCGATGACACACAAACGGAAAATCGTGACCTAGTTTCTGTAGCCTGCCAATAGAACGACTACAGTCTACATATGTATTTTGTACTTGCTTTTGTCTTGGTTTTTAGCTCTTTGTTTGGTATGAAACAATAATATCTTCTCCACAGCAACTTTCACTTCTACATTCATTTTCCTGAATATCATTTAAATACAATCTCTCTGATTGGTCAAAATTTTAATGAATATTTTTGTTAGAAAGGTCAACAGGAGATGACCCTGAATGGGGTTTCTTCAAATCCTTGTGTAGCGATCTATGTGAGGGGATCAAAGGATCTGATTTTAATTAGATTGAAAGAGAAATCAATAACGAGGTACAGGTCAACTACATGAATGTAATACAAGACAATTTAATGCTTTCACTCTAAAACTTGGATTGTAAACAGATTGAGAAAGGGAGATCACTCAGTACGTCAGATATAACCGTCCAGAAACTGAAGAGTGAGGGGTTTGAGGCTGTGTTCTTAGGGATAGGTATCAACTGATGTATTCTACAAATGTTTTTTTTTAATCCAATTCATGTATATTAATCATTCTTCTGTTTGATAGTTATTATACCTTTATGCCATTAATTTGATAAAAATAAATATCTTTCTCTGTGGATGTAACAGTGTTAGGTTTATGTCCTCAGTTTAACCTCCAAGTTTTTTAATCATCTTTAAAATTTTCATGGTTTTCTTGTTATGTCATATTTCTAAATATTTTATTTACAGGTATGCCTGACCCCAAGAAGATTCCAATCTTTGCTGATTTGAAAGAATCAATGGGATTCTTTACATCCAAAGATTTCCTACCAAAAGTTTCGGCTGCTAGCAAAGCAGGTAGTTAATCAGGCTGTCATTGTAATGTACCCAGAAATCTTAAGGATACACCAAAGGTTTCCAAAGGGCAAAACTTAATTTGCTTGTAATTCTTTCATTATCAAAGATAACATATTAAAAGTATATATCATTTGAAAGCTTGTTAAATGTACTATTTAATGATTCTAATATAAACTTTCATTTTTATCTTATTAACAAATTATTAATATTTTAATGTAAATATTAGTGCATTTATATTTTATAAATCAACTTTTTTGTATTCCACCTTTCAAAGTCAAAATTTTGCCTCAATGTAGATTAAACATTGAACTTTAAAACTGTATCTCAGATTTTTGATAAATCTTCTTATTCAAAAGTTACATTCATTTGTCTTTCAATGTTACTGATTTATTAGCCAAATTCTACATTTCCCCCAATAAATCAAGAACTAAGCAAGATATCAAAAATCTGAGATAAGGTTTTGTGAACACACATTTGAGACGCATTCTGGCCAGTTTTCAGAGAAATTGGTCAATAAATGAGGGAGCTGAATCCTTTGAAATAATACCACCAACTGTCTGATCTTACTTTACAGTAGAGGGCAAAAACCCATTACACAACAAAGTCTGCCAAAACTAGAAATATATGACACCTTGGAGATTCAGCCTTGGATACCTGTCACTTATCCATGTTTCCTATGCATATTCACAAGAATGGGAGGTTCTATTCTTTATTAAGGTGCTTTTAATGAAGTAAAATAGGTTCAATTCTGAATCAGAAAGATTTCCCGGCAAAATGGCAAAAGCTAAGCCCCACCTCCTATTTCACGGTCATTAGTGACCTGTTAGATATCCTTCCCTAAATCTAGAGTCCCTGTAGTTTAATTACTGATAACCTTTGTGTGGCTAGTGAAGAATTCCCCAAGTGGTCACAGTGATTTATTGCTCCTTTCAGAAGCAGGCAGTTACAGACCAACTCAGAAGCTTCAATAACGGCACATTCACATGTGTTAGTGTTTATGTTTGATTATTGTTAAATACCGTAATTTCGGGAATATAGGTCGATACTTTTTTTCTCAGAACCGCTGGGGTCGACCAATATTCAGAATTCGACCTATTTAAGGCTCAAGTTTACGAAAAATGCCCCCAAATCAGTAAAATTTACGCCAATTTCAAAGCAAATCTGTGCCACTTTCGTAACTTTTTTGATTATTTTTGCAAAAAAATTAATGCTCCAGTAAACAATAAAATATTTATTCTATAGCTTTCTTACAAAATAAGTTCCATTAATTATCTGTTGATGACAAAGGAAAACAACGTTGCTATATCTATTAAATAATTCCTCAACGTATTATCCATTAACATCATGCGGTATCCATCTTGTGAAGTTAGGAAGTCGCGATCGTGTACTAAAACTAAAACCGCAACCGTATCCAAATTTAAAATACGGAAAATTTTCACGATCACAACTGTTGTGTTCTTACCATTTATTAGTAGCGATAAATTGAAATAGTATATCAAATATTTTTTATTGTCTTATGTTTATTTAAATGTAACACGAGTGAAATAATCAATTCAATTCCTAAATTTAATTAAAAAAAAGAAGTCATTACTGTTTTTTTTTTTTTTTTTAAATATTAATTAATTATTTACCGGTATACACAGATTGGCTTCTAACAGAATTTTAATTGTCTGACAGATAAAGGGATTTACCGTACACTGTGTACGCAAAGGTGTTTAACACCTGTGTTCACTGTTGGTTTAAATGCCTGCGGGGCATGATTAAGAAACCCACGTGCCATTATAGGGTATTAGTGTTACACATCATTGAACAAACAATGTCGTGAAATTCATGTTGAAAGTCAAATTGTGAATGTACTCTCAATTAAAATTTATAAATTAAACTTATAGAGTGTTAATATGATTTCAATTCTTTACTGTTGCTTGATATATACATTCAATGGTCATTTGCGTGTTTTAGCAAATCCCTGGAGAAGAAAAATAAAAATGGCGGACATCGAAGTAATTGTTAGTCTCGTTTTCCCCAGACTCTCGCTCTCGTACGGAAGCGTATTAAGGCCGCAGCAGTATTTTTTTTTAATTTGTTATAACAAATTAATAATTTGTTATAACAAATTACTAATTTGTTTAAACAAATTATTAATTTGTTATAACAAATTATTAATTTGTTATAACAAATTAGTATTTTGTTATAACAAATTGATAATTTAAATTACTAATTTGTTTAAACAAATTGATAATTTGTTTAAACAAATTGATAATTTGTTATAACAAATTGATAATTTGTTTAAACAAATTGATAATTTGTTATAACAAACTACTAATTAATTTGTTATAACAAATTATCAATTTGTTATAACAAATTATCAATTTGTTATAACAAATTAGTAGTTTGTTATAACAAATTATCAATTTTAAACAAATTATCAATTTGTTATAACAAGTTATCAATTTGTTTAAACAAATTATCAATTTGTTATAACAAGTTATCAATTTGTTTAAACAAATTATCAATTTGTTATAACAAGTTATCAATTTGTTTAAACAAATTATCAATTTGTTATAACAAATTATCAAATTGTTATAACAAATTAGTAATTTGTTATAACAAATTAGTAATTTGTTATAACAAATTAATAATTTGTTATAACAAATTAGTAATTTGTTATAACAAATTAGTAATTTGTTATAACAAATTGATAATTTGTTATAACAAATTAAAAAAAAATACTGCTGCGGCCCTAATACGCTTCCGTACTCTCGAGACTTTGCCCGAGCGAGAGTCTGGTCAGATTCCTATTTAATTTTTGTAATTTCAAATCGAGGCTTACCGAGAAATCGGTATGGATTTTCATTGGCTGATACATTCTCTTCGATGCTAAGATCTGTATTCTTTAAAAAGTCAGAGGCAGCGCCTTTACTTTTATCTGGTTTTATAATAAAATACCTCTGTCTGCTTTACAAGGAACAAAAAACGCACATATTTTTGTTTTAAAAAGTAAATTCTCACATGTATTTTCATGGGAGTCGCCATCTTGTTAGCCGGTTTAGCGACCTCTACTGGTTACAAAAATTAAATAGGAATCAGACCAGACTCTCGCTCGGGCAAAGTCTCGAGAGCGAGAGTCTGGGGAAAACGAGACTAAGTAATTGTCGTCCACCGGTAAATAATGTTTGAGTAAAATTTATTAGGAATGTGTCCAAGTTGTTCTGAAATCGGAATTACTATTCTTTGGTCTCGGGTATCTCCCGATTTATAGCTGTAAAATAATAACGTATTTACGTGTTATTTATGCCTCTGATTTAACAACAGTGTGAAACTACGGAGGCATTGAACAGGCAAGTTGGAGAAAAATAAGTAGTTACACAATTCAAAGAAGTTTTAACTACATTTTTTTACAAAACAGTATTTAATTGCTGTACTCATTAAAATACCTGTTTATTTTCTTGATACGTTCATGTCACTTAATAACCCCGATAATTTTAGGGGTTTACCTGTTCTGATACGTTGTATCTGCGTTAAAATCTTAAGAAAACGGGAAACAAAGCCTTGTCCTATATAGTAAGTTCGACCTATCTTAGGATTTTTCAAAATTTAAGGCTGAAAATGAGCCTTTCGACCTATATACCCCATCGACCTATATTCCCGAAATTACGGTAATTAGAAAACCATTTAATAATCAGGAAGAATTTTTCATGCATCATAAAGCAGTCATTAGCATTGCTTTCTTAGCCAAAAATCTCAAAATTGACAAAAATCTTGAAAAATGCCTTTGGTGTATCCTTAACAATTCTTGAAATCTAAAATTCTATATAAGGATGGTCTGTTATCCACAATAAAGTATTGTTGTTTAACTCACATTATAAGCATTAATAAGCTATGTATTGAATTGTCTAGGTATGTGCAGCTGTAAGTCTACCCTGCCCCAGCTGTCAGGGAAGGTGATTGTGCTGGGGGCGGGAGACACAGCCTTTGACTGTGCTACCTCGGCCCTGAGGTGTGGGGCCAAGAGAGTCTACGTTGTGTTCAGAAAGGGATTCACCAACATCAGAGCTGTGCCCGAGGAGGTAAAAAGTGTTATTTTGTTTTTTACCCATATGACATCTTTAGGTTGATTCAGTTTAGATTTTATTATAAGCTTGGTGAACATTTGAATTATGTAAGGTGTAGATAAAAAAGTAGATACCTTGTGTCCTCTCATTTCCATACGATATCTTGTGTCTATTGTTTATGAGTTCATTGTCCATTTTTTGTCTTTCCTCAATCTTCTTTATATTTTACTAAAAGTGGAAGGTTTTAGTTGGGAACCATTCCCATGATATTTGATTAAGATAATCTTATTGGTCCCCTAGCGGTGAAACCGGAGGGAACTACAGGTTTCCTCTGCATCTGTCCGTCCATCTAGCCGTCCCCGTGTCTGTCTGTCCAGCTGTCCTACTTGGTTTTCCGCACTTTTTTTCCACAGGGGCCGGTAACATACTGTTTTTGATTTTATTTTACGTAATCACTATATATATACAAAAAAGGAAAGGGAAACAACATCAGCCCAAATTTACACAGGGTCGATCTCAGAAATATTTCGGATTTCATAGAAAAAAAAGAATGTAG